TCACATACTAATTGGAGCAAACCAAGTAGGGTCATGCGATAGAGAGTGATGCCAGGGTGGTGTGGGCTGCTTTAGTTAGGATCATGGAAGCTGAAAAGGAAGAGAAAATTGGAGTTGAGATCTGAAGGGTGATGAAGAGCAGCCAAGTGAAGATCTGCAGTTTGAGGATGCTAAGGGAAAGGGAGAGTTAAGAGCAAGGTTTCTGAACCAAGGACTGCTCAAGGTACAGGAGGAAGTCCAGTGAGATGGAGGAGCATGCAGGAGCTGAGGGTGAAGAGGGTCTAGTTCAGTGGTTCTCAACCTTCTGGCCCTTTAAATACAGTTCCTCATGTTGTGACTCAACCATAAAATTATTTTCGTTGCTACTTCATAACTATAATGTTGCTACTGTTATGAATTGTAATGTAAATATCTGATATGCAGGATGGTCTTAGGCGACCCCTGTGAAAGGGTCGTTTGACTACCAAAGGGGTCGCGACCCACAGGTTGAGAACCGCTGGTCTAGTTAGTATAACAGGAGCCACCTGAGCTTTTTAAGGGAGGAGATACTGTCATCTGACTTATAGGTTTAGCGAGGTCATTCTGACAACTCAGTGGAAATTGGATTGTCAGGAGCAAGGATGGAGGCAGGAAGACCAGTGAGGAGGCTGTAGCTATTGTCCAGACGAGAAACAATGGTGGCTTGGACTAAGGGTGTGTGGTATAGATGGTGAGATGTGATAGAATTTGGGATATACTGTAGATGTGGGACCTGTGGAACATACTGAATGATTTTAGTCTGAGTAACTGGGTGATTGGTGGTGCAGTTCTTATTCAGATGTGGAGGGCTTGCTGGTTCCTTTTTAAGTTTGATATGGCCAATGGACATCCAAGTGAAATATGTCTAGCAGGCGATTGAGTGCTTGAATCTGGAGCTTAGATGGATATGAAGGCTGAAATGTTAGTTTAAGTTACATGAAGGTCAACAATGTAGACAACAGGAGGCTGAGTGTAGGACACACCATTAGCTAGAAGTTGGAAGGAGATACCAGCCAAGGACTCTGAGAGAGAGTAGCCAGAGAGGTCGGAGAGAGCCCGTGCTGAATAGGCGGCTGGAATGGAGTGTTTCCTCATCATTCAGTGTCAAGTGTTAGCACCCAGCATTTGTATGCAAATGTCATTCCAAAGATTATTTCCTTGCTACAAACTTAGTGACACCCAGAGCTAGCAAGCCCTACGCCTGCCCACAGAGACCCTCAGCCACAGTGGAGTCAGACATGGGTCTTGTCGGTCAGGATCTGTGAGACTTTTAGACTGTTACCAAAGAGTGATCAGATTTTTGCTGCTCTTGTTTAATGGCAGTTCTCTATACAGCTGGCATGGCTATACCACAAATCAGTTCTTTGAAAATAATCATTCACTAAATTCTAATCCCAAGACTTTAAGACTCATCTAAAATAAAAGCATGTAGCCAACTCGGTGCACACACGAAAGGACGCATAAAAATTTGTATATTTTTAACTACTTCATGTGCTAATCCTGGCAAGATAAGTCTCATAATAAACTATTTTCTAAATTTTATCTTTTCTTGATGGCAGCTTCTGTTGGGAGTTAATTTCAGTTCATGGAAGATTGTCATACTATCTATTTTTTACTTGAGAAATGACATCTAAGTGAGCAGAGATTTCTTGCCGTCTACCTCTCTTATAATGAAAGTATAATACACACCAGCACACTTTTTAAGTCTAAGGACAATATTGGGGAGTCCTTTCTGTACCATATACTGTTATGTAATAGGTCATTTTCTCCTGCTGTATTCTATGTGTTTTCTCTAAAGCCCAAAGCAGAGTCATGCTGTAAACAAGATGGTTTATTTGCTGATTGTAATCAGGTCTGGAGAAATAGTGGATTTGTTTTAAACTAAGCAAAGCTGCATTTCCTTTCCAGAAGGTTCCATGGATGACAAATACTTAGGTAAACTCTGTGAGTGTTTTAGTCTCACCTTCTACTCCACTGACATTTAGTTGAATTTTACAAATAGATAAAGCTAATAAGAATGCAGTGGGCAGATAGTTGGCAATAGATTGTGATGAGGAATAGTTTCTTGCTTATTCAACCAAGTACTAATTGAATGCAAATTCCTGGGAACAGAATATCAGAAAATGATCCCTTTTCATAATCTATATATATAAAAGCCTAAGCAACCGTTAGACCAGTAACTATGATGTGCACTGACCACCAGGGGGCAGACGCTTAACACACAGGCATGGAAACATGGAACAGACTCATGAATATCAGAGGGAAGGGAAAAGGGGGGAGGGCGGGAAGAGATTAACCAAAGATCTTGTATGAACACTAGAGGACTGGTATGCATGCAGAGGGTGGGGGAGACCGCAGGAGGTTGGCTGGTGGGGGTGGGCGGAGGAGGGACCGCGGGACGTTGGCCACTGGCCCCCAAGGAGGGAGCTGGCCCTTAGCCCCTGTGGGAAAGGGCCGTGTCCACTGCCACCCACCCCCAGTTCCCTGTCCCAGTCTAGGCCTGAAGGCTCCAGTGGGGTCAGGAGAGGAGGCGACAGTCGCTAGGCCGAGTGCAGAAGGGAACGAATGCTGGACACTGCTGTCAGAACCCTGCCACCATGTGGTTCCCCTCCTCACCCCCTTCTCCTTCCCTCGCCACTGCACCGCCACTGTGGCAGGCGGGCGGCCCCCAGGGAAGGGAGAGGAGGATTCGGTTTCCCTTCTCACCCCCCTCCTCCTTCACCACCACAACCACGGCAGGCGGGCAGGCAGCCCCCAGGGAAGAGAGAGAAGGGGGCAGTTCCCTGTCTCCTGCCCTCCCCTCCCTTCCCTTGTCGCCACCACCACTTTGGCGGGTGGGCAGCCCCTGGGGAAGGGAGAGGATGGGAGTAAGACAAACCCTTGTGTCGAGGGCTGACTTTCGATAGTTTTCAGCAAGGGAGCTGCTCTGCTACAGACGAAACCCCAACCCAGAGCAGGTCTCTACGAATGGTTTAGCAGCAGGGGCCAATGGGGGCCAGCCGGCCGGGGAGAGGGGCCGTGGGAGGTTGGCTGTGGCAGTGCACTGACCACCAGGGGGCCACTCCTGCATTGAGCGTCTGCCCCCTGGTGGTCAGTGCATGTCATAGTGACCGGTTGACACGTCGTTTGGTTGTAACGGTCGCTTAGGCTTTTATATATGTAGAAGCCCTGTGTATGGACTTGTGCACCGGTGGGGTCCCTCGCCCTGGCCTCTAGTTTTAACATAATAACTCCTGCTGCTTTGTATAAAAACAGCAGGAATTATTTGATGGCACCTTGAAATTCTTCATTTTTTAAAAAATGTATCTTTATTGATTTCAGAGAGGAAGGTAGAGGGAAAGAGAGATAGAAACATCAATGATGAGAGAAAATCATTGATTGGCTGCCTCCTGCACATCCCCTCCTGGGGATCAAGCCCACAACCCAGGCATGTGCCATTGACTGAAATCGAACCTGGGACCCTTCAGTCAGCAGGCTGACGCTCTATCCACTAAGCCAAACCAGGTAGGGCGAAATTCTTCATTTTTTTCTCCAGTTTGAAATAAGTTACTTCAAACTGGAAGTAGCTTAATTACCTGGTTGGCTCAATCCTATTTTCTAAGACTATAGCTAAAGCATAACGCCAAAAGCCCAGGCCCTTACCTGCCCTTGTCATAAATAAGTAAAATGCTAAGCCAGTCTGACAGCTGTGTGCTTAGCTTTGCGTGAAGGTTATAGGATGTAACAAGCCTTGTCCCTGGTCCCTCAGGAGCAGTTATCTTTTTGAGGTGTCAGACTTGTCCTTGGGTGTTCCTAGTTTCCAGAACCATGTGTAGGAGGCAGAGGGTGTGAGTGTGGAGCGGAGGAGGATGGCTCTGGGTGCCCGTCTTACCTCCTTTTCTGCCCTTCCCTCTGCCACCTGGGGAAAGTAAAGTTGAAGGGCCACCTGGTGGATCAGGCTGTGGGCAGCATTGGTGCAGAAAAGACTGTGTCTGTCTTACCCACCTCCTGCCCTAGTGCCCAGCACGGTGCCTGGCATGTAAATGACAAGAACTCCTGTTGAACGTCGAGTGATTGGGCGGCAGGGCTCATATAGTGCCACGCAGGGCTTCTCCCCTTCCCCTCACAGTTACCTCCTTGAATCGCACAAGTCCAGAGTCAAACCAAATCCCAAGACCCCACACCTGGGAAATCACTTGGTCAACTGTAAGGATGGCTTCCTTTGTCTCCGGAGCCTCTACCCAGTTAAGGCACGATTTAGGCGTGTGATGAAAACATTAGAGTTCTTTGGGACACAAAGCAGTGATGTCTTGCTAAGAAGAGCAGCTTCTTAGATCTGGTCATGTCTTCTTCCCATTGGGTGAAATCCAAGCCCATCATCTTGGCTGGCAGTGCCCTGCAGGCACTGGGTCCAGCTTTCCTGTACCTGCCACCCTCCTGCTCCTCCAGCACACCAGGCCCTCCTGCTTGCTCCACCCTCTGTCTGGAATGTTCTTCCATAGCTCTTCACTTGCCGCAGTCTTTCTGATCCATTAAAGGTCCGCTAACAGGCACTTCTCAGTGAGGCCTTCTGTGCCCTCTCTGTCATCCCTTTTGTCCCACACTTAGGCATTTTGCATTTTCCCATGTGCTTGCTTGCTTGCGTATTAGTTGTCTGCCACACCTGATAGAGTGCTTTACACGGGTAGGACTGTTTTCTGGGCAGCATCTAGTCTAGTGCCTGGTTCAGCGTAAGGTCTCAGTAAACCAATATTAGTTCAAACGAGTGAATGACGTGTCAACATCCTTTTTGTCAGAAAAAGTATTTCAAGTAAAAAAACACCTTTTCTTCCCTCAGATTCATAACATTGAACATATATTCCTTAGTCTTGGGAAAGAACTGCCTTAAAGATTAGGGTCAGTGACTTAGTGTCCGTTGTCTATACTAATATTAGTGCTTTTATTCCTAAACTTTTAATGTATTTTCTCCCCTCCTTTTTTTTTCTTTTGTCTTTCCTTTTTAGCAAGGGAAACCATATGTCTTCGACAGAGTGCTGCCTCCCAGCACGACCCAAGAGCAGGTTTACAGTGCGTGTGCAAAGCAAATTGTCAAAGGTAAGCACTATTCCTTTATTTCCTCCTGGGCCTTTCAGAGTAATTGAAAACATTAAGTGATATTTGCAGCTTAAGAATCAATGTGCTTTGACTGTAAGCAGAGGCCTACTAATTGGGCACACCGAATTACAGCCCGCGGTCTGGTCCTGATTTGCTGGGGATGTCATGCAAGTTATTTAACCTCCAGACACCCCCTTTTCGAGGAGATTTCTTTATTTCTTCTGCCACCTTTCTGGCGGAGCTATTTTATCACTTAGAAGCTTCCAAGCTAGGTGAGCTAGGACCACACTTTTTTTTCTAATGGCTTTAAAATACTGCTGCAGGTGGGGGAGTTCTGTTTTCCTTCCAAGGAGAAATATATATATTCCTGATGCTCCAATTGTACATTTTCGGTTAATCTATTTTGTGCATCGGTTTCTTCAGAAAGAAGCCTTAAATGTGGAAAATTCTTGAGCATCAAAGAATTTTTTCCAGCATCATAAAAATCACATTACCTTGCTGGTTATTGAGCTGTTTTTGCTATTCAGCATTCCTTAATTATACTTTCCTCTAACCCACTTTCAGTCATTTCACTCCGATCCCGGCATTGGTTCCTCCAGATAAGCAGCCTGAAGCCTACATTTGTGTCCTGGAGATCTGTCCTTTTCTCTGGGACTGGCCTTGGCCCTGAGTGATTTGTGTCACAATAACAGCAGGGAGATGAAGCATTTACAGGCTGCCCTCCCTCACCCTTTCCAATCGGGGGCAGGTTGGAGCTTGCCCTGCAGAGCTCACCATCTGCACTGAGCTGAGGGGCATCTCCTGCTGCTTGCTTTTCATCATTAAATCCTTGCTTTCAAATTTGAATGCTTTGGCATTTGTGCTTTCAAATGTCTTGATGCTGCCACCTTTATAGGTAGCTCTGGATTTAAAGAGCAAAAAATAAAAACAAAGTAAGAAAAAAATACCTTGTCATGTTAGATCTTATTTTTAGCAGCAGAGATGACTAACCTAATACTTTGAACTCATGAAAATCAGCCCTGGGTACATCTGTTAGATTAATTCTGACCCTGGAAACCTGCGTGGGAGCCTGTCGGTATGTAATGTTCCTTGCTGAGGTGTATGGTTATTCACGTTCCTTTTGCAAACATCAATTAATTTTAAAGGTCTTCACAGTAACATTTTTAGAGAAAACTAAAAGGAAAAAATATGCCTGAATTTGAGCTCTCTTTGAATTAATAGTATGGGCCTATACTGGTGGTAATTTTCGTCTCCTCTTTACTTCTACTCTTTTGCTTCTCTTTCTATCTAAACATATTTTTTGGAGCACATAGTTCTAGTTTGTCCCTAGTCAGCCTTCCTTTCCCTCTATTATTGCACTTGTTCATGTCTTTCTTAAAGTATATTTAGTCACATATGAGCCGGATTTTTCTTCTTTTTCTCTCTCCTTCATTATCAGAACCAAATAGTATTTACCACATGCTGTGCTAAGCATGAAGGCCATCTAAATACATCCCCACCCTCTCTAAGACATCGGAATTAGAGATAAACTCCATTGAAAAGAAATCCTGTGATTAACAAACAGCAATAATAATCTTTAAGTCTTTATTTACTCGAGAAGCCTGTGTCCCTTTCAGTGTTTGGATTTTTCTGCAGTATGAAATGTTAGAAATAGCCTGGGGTGCTCTTGAAGATGTGACCTAACTATGGATAATTTGAAACCCAATATATGGTGAGCCACAAAGAAAATCATTTAGAATAAAATTAGGCCTTGATATGATATAATAAACACATTTTTCAAGCACCATAAATATTACATAAACATAGTCATTTTGTAACAAGAAAGAGTACCTTAGTCTCACTTGAAAGGAAATGAAGAGGAGAGTGATGAAGACCTGATTTAACTTTTTTAACCCCCACTGAGGCTAACATGAGGGGAAGTAGTTCTGCATCAGCAAGCTCAAACATAGATATGTAGGAAAGAATTCCTTGGCTTAGATAGCAGTCACAGCTGAGGTAGCTCTTGCCATGACAAGCCTATTTAAATCAGGAAAGGGAGGTGGTGTGTGGGGGCCTTTTTCTAAGAATTAAATCAGATGACTGTGAAGGTCACCATAGTCTCTGATTCATGATAAGGCGGTGGACTGTGAGCTTTCCTTTCAAGTCTGTCTAAACTCTAAACCCTTAATATTTTGAGATCAAGAAGACTCCTTTTAACTGGCAACTCTATACTCTCTCGGATTTTCTCATTCCCTTCAACTTCACTGGGCTTTTAAGTGTTTCAAACATTTGATTCTAGAGTCCTGGCATCTCCCACACTCTCATCTTTGTCTGGAGTGTGCTTTTCAAAATGTTGTCTGAGAGAATATGTGGAATTTGCTTCTAGAAGAGGTTATAGGGTTTGTGACTACCAGCCTGGTATATAGGAAGGTTCCCAAAAATACCGAGAAATTAAAAACCATGGTTAGTGGGTACTATTGTTGAAGTAGAGTATCTATGTCCCAGCCTCCAGAAGTCACTCAGGGCATTTGCCTTTCAAATTATGCAGGCCCATAAGGAGCATTTAAATTTTTTTATTTGATTGATTTTTAGAGAGGAAGGGGGAGAGAAGGGAGAGAGAGATCTCTCTCTCTCTCTCTCTCTCTCTCTCTCTCTCTCGAGAGAGAGAGATTTGCTCCACCTATTTATGCATTCATTGGGTGATTATTGTATGTGCTCTGTCCGGGGATCGAACCACAAACTTGGGGTATCCAGACAATGCTCTAATCAACTGAGCTAAGCTATCAGGCCAGGGCAAATGAGCATTTAATAATAATAATTTTATGAGTTGTTCCTTTCTAGATGTAGACTCTCCAGTGCTGGAGAAGGTGGTTTTCTAGATCTAGTTTCTTTAAACTTCATTTATTTGATTGTTTCTTTCACCCATTCCTTATGCAAGTGCTGCATATTAAATATCCACCATGTGGTAGATACTGCTAGGGACTGGAGTAACAAAGATATGTAAGACTCTGCAAGAAGTTTTGAGTAAAAGGAAAAAGACAGATGCAGCCATAATCATCATTCACATGGGTATTATGAGTTTTAAGGTGGGTGTGTGGAAATGCTATGGGAACACAGAAGAAAGTCACTGGATACCGATTTTGATGGGCATGGAAGGGAATTGGAGAATTAAGGAAGGCTTCTTGGACAGGTTGGGTTTCTAGGACAGGAGAAAGGCTATATAAGCAGAGGGAATAGCAACAGCATAAAGACACAAATTATATGGCATGTTGGGCCACTTAGAGTGGAACAGGGTGCAGGGGGATGAGACTTTAAAAAAAAAGTTTGGCAGGATCAGAGTTTGGTTGAAATTGGTGGGCTTTATCCTGTAGGCAATATAGACCCATAAAGAATTTCAGCTTAGAATATTTTCAGGTCTAGTTTACTATTATGTTATATATGACTCTTAAGGAGATATATTTACTTCTCTATTATTATCTATCAGGCACTCTCTATGCACTTTACATATGTTACTGTATTTTAAATCTTAACAGGTCTATGGGTTGTAAGCATTATTTTCCCCATTGTACCAAAGAGGAATTTGAGGTGAAGCAATTGGGCCAAGTCAATTAAGGGGTAGTGAGGCTGGGACTTGAGCCTGAGTTTGTCTACTTAATTGGATTTTTCTGCACTGTCCTCCTCACACTTTTCTGGCAGGTCTATAAGGAGCATTTAAATTTTTTTATTTGATTGGTTTTTAGAGAGGAAGGGGGAGAGAAGAGAGAGAGAGAGAGAGAGAGAGAGAGAGAGAGAGAGAGAGATTGATTTGCTCTACCTATTTATGCATTCATTGGTTGATTGTTGTATGTGCTCTGTCCAGGGATCGAACCACAAACTTGGGGTATCCAGACAATGCTCTAATCAACTGAGCTAAGCTATCAGGCCAGGGCAAATGAGCATTTAATAATAATAATTTTATGAGTTGTTCCTTTCTATCAGCCATATGGACATTTAACCCAGGCATTGAAATAAGATAGGGACAGGAATGGGGGTGGGAGGAAGGCAGAGGAGAGAGAATAGAGATTGCAGTTCTAGAACTTCCAGATGGCCCGGCCTGTCTGCCAATAATGCATTTCAGTTCTGAAGGTGCCGCAGGCCCTCACCTGGGTACGGTGTCGGCCCCGCAGACTGGCTGTTAGCCCAGCATTCTGGTTGGCCCTGGCATTCAGCATGATTACCTCTACATTCTCCGCACATGGGCTACTTGTGTGTTCTTTGGTTGACTGGAGAGATTAGGGTTCCAAGCTGGGATGACTTGTGTGTCAGCCACTATTGCCAGAGACCCTGGTGCCCCTGACAGGCCATTTCACCTGGAAAGCTGGGGGGAGGCCACGGCAGCCTCCTCAGGAACATTGATGTTTATGTGTAGGTATAGGGATGCCCTCCCCAAATTCTTACCTGACAGTTGAACTAGCTCTTCTGCTCCAGCAAGGCCTGGGCTCAGAATTAGCAAAACTAGGACAGAAAACTTGGCTTTTGAGGCTGCAGGAAGAGGCAACAAGTATTTTCAAGTGTCCCATCCCCATCCTCCCTCCTCCTGGGAGAGGAGAAGTCCCTTCCCGCCTGCAGTGGACTCTGTCTGGGGTTTGCTTGGCCCCCAGATGGACGTATACTGTATTTGTGGGGTGCCGCCGACTGGGTGGTGTGAGCTGAGATCACATCACGCCAGACCCGGTCACAAAGAAAGGTTCTGTCTGGCTGAGCTGGTTCCCCGTGCTGTGGCTTTTGTCACGGTAGCGACTCTGAAACAAATGCTTTCCTCTGGCCCAGGAACTGTCACTCAACGTGATGAAAGTGCCTTTTGTGGACTGTTGCTGCTAGAGGCGGTGGGGTGGCTGTGTGGCTCCGTGTGGCGCTCGCACAGGCCGCTAGCTCTTTCTTTGGTGGTTCTCTGGCTCCCTCCATCTCCTGTCATCTCAGTGGTCCATCCCCAAATGCATTGTTTGTGCTGCACCCCGCCCCCCTTCCCCCACCCCTCCACCACCTCTCCTTTCCACGTAGAGGAAATAAACCACTCATAGAGTAAGCAAATAAACAAACAACGCTCCCTCCCCAACGCAGAGTTTGGGAGAAAATAGAGAACACTGGGTTCAGAGAGCCTTTTCTTTTCTTTTTAGATTACCTTCTAATTCAGAATTGAATTGATAGAGGGCAGCCATCACTCCGTTCAACCTTGAGCACTAGACGTAGTTTCTTCAACAATGAATTTATTGTAACATGATTGTAAAGACTTTAAAGGCCAAGTGGAGTTTGTTCTAATGGGGTTTTATTTGTTCTCTTTTTCCTAAAAAAAAATAAATAAATAAAAGTAATTGCGCTCAGTGTTGAAACAGCAGCAGCAAGCAATCAGGGTTCTCTAAGTATATAGCTCCATGTGCTCCTCAGCTCCTCACTCCACAAGTTCACATACGTGTCCCAGTTCTTACCCTGCAGGCCTTCGGTGAGCCACAGCTGCCTAGGGTCAGTGGGACTGCATTCTGCTGAGCGTGAGGGGGATTCAGAGAGGCGCGCTGGGCCGGGCTCTGGGAGGCCTATTCAGATGTCCCGGCCCCATTGCTTTTCTGCAGAGGACAAGGCCCGCGCAGGTTTTCTCCTGTCAGGGCTCGGGCTCTGAGGTGAGTTTTCTTTAGGGTGTGGCAGGTTGCTCAGAGCCACCTCCTGGGAACATGGGCACTTGTAGGGTGGCCAGTGGCCCGATCCCGGGAGCAGAGACAGCTGGACCCTTGGCCTGGCTCCCTTAGCCCTGATCTAACGCCTGGGCTAATGGGTCCCAGAGTGCTTCCTACACGGGGGCTTAAGCTAAGGAAGCCCTTTCAGTCTGGGGGGAGATGTTTAATTTCTATGAAATAGAAGCTGTAGTGCGGTGATGGGGGCTAGAATTCTGGTTGCCTGGAGGTGTTTGTGCCATGGATATAGAATTTTAAAAGTACAACTGAAGGAGCACGCTCTCCCTCCCCGGAGCACACCCACGCCTTTCCCTGCCTCCCATTCTTCCCCCAGAGGCACATCTCTCCTAAGCTCCGGGACCCCACAAGGCGTGCAGCCAGGGGAGCAGCGGGCAGCGTCAGTTAGTCCTGGGCTTATCCCTGAAGCTGCTTTTCTTCTCTGACTCCCCAGGGAGATGACAGCAGCCCGGCCTTGACTCATTTTTTCCCCAGGTTTCCAGAGACAAAGCAGCCCACCTCGGCTCTCCTGTCACTTCTTCTATCCCAGGCCTTCCTTGTTTCACTGTCCCGAGCTTTAATAAATGCAATCTCAAAAAAAAAAAAAAAAAAAAAAAAAAAAAAAGGAAATGAAAGTACAGCCGAAACGTGGAACCTTTTTCCTGGGTCTTTCAAAGCATATCACATCCATGTACGTGTAGAGGCTCTCTGCTCTGTTTTCAGCCCTGAGGAATCTTTTCTCTGAAAAAGTTGGCATTTTCGTGAAAACTGAAGCTTGAACCTCCAACCCTTCCATCTTTTTCAAGTTTTTGCTTTCCCTGTTACCAGGGAAACCATTACCAGAAGTCTGATACGTGTGAATATTCTCTCAATATAGCTTGACGCAAACTCTTGAGGCTGCTGCTAGGATTTAAAAAATCCTGCCACTTAATTTTCCTTTCTTGAGTTTCCTAAAGGACATCCCACTTTCTTTTCTGGCTTCAGACTTTAGTAACCTCAGATCAGTAAAATGTATATTAAATATTTTTTAGGAAATCCAACAAAACAACAAAACCAAGTGGCATCACACAATTCAGAGAGACCCACCCACCAACCAAACACACCTGGTCAGGACCTGAACGAGATGGAGCTGATTGCCTGGCTCTGGGCCCTGAAAGAGGACAGCTGGGTGTGGGGTCCTCTCCCTGCACCATCCCTTGGGGAATGAAGGCTCCTCCCCGTATGTAGAGAGGGTGGTCAGGATATTAATTATGCACCATTCCCTTCCCATGAGGTTCATGTGGATGACAGAGGGTCGAGGGAAACAAGCACACAATGTATTTTGATTACCTCTGCTGCTTTGAAAGAATTCTCACAGATAATCTTCAGTGCATCACACCCTCCCCATCCCCATGGGAGCCGGCTGCCCTGTGCGGGTGCCCAGTGTGCTCATAGTGCGTTAAAGAAACCCTGGTGCTGATGGGTTCAGTCGCTAAAAACAGAGGCATTAACTTTGAATCAGGGCCTTGGTGGCGTCTGGGATGACTGGATTGTTGCTGTGTGGCTCAGTTTGCAGAGCGGAGCCCTGCCCCACAGCTCTGGACCAGCTGCCTCTGAAGGGGCTCTGGTGTGTCTCCACAAGAAACCTCCCCAAGGAGCCCTCCTGGGCCAGGGTTCAAACCAACCCAAATCAGACCTTCAGGAAAGAAATTCTATTCTGCACCTCACTCCAGAGACGCAGGGCACGGATAATGGTTCTTCCCCTGGCTGATCTCAAGAGATCAACTTAGAGAAGAAAACTATCTTTCTACTAAAAGAAAACTATCTTTCACATCTGTTATAATTTTGATGTTACTGGGAGAAGTGTGTCTGCCTCCCTCTACACTAACAAGTTCTGTAGGAATGTGAGTCCATTCCTCTTTGTTTGTGGAGCAGGAGAGGCTCTCATATCTGCCTTTTTCCTCACAATTCTACTTAAAATTTTAGTAAATGGAGTTGAAATATCAATTGTGTGAAAAATGAGATGGGCCATTTGGAAAATGTAATTTAAAAATATGCATATGATCAAAGTAATGGGTTAATTTCATTTGTTTTTTCCTTGCTTGCAGATGTCCTGGAAGGTTACAATGGGACAATCTTTGCTTACGGGCAGACTTCATCAGGAAAAACGCATACCATGGAGGTAAGATTGCAGCGAGCTGCGATGTCAGGCTCTGAGACTGAGCAGAACTTGAGGTGCATGTGGTTTTTTACTGGGCAATAGAGTTGGTTATGGGATGGTTATGTTTAGCCAGTTTATGGTATTTTTAAGAGTTTAAAAATAATGGTGAGTAATAAAATCTCAGGAGTTGAGAATTTAAAAAACTTCTTTGTTAATAGCTCTGTCAAAATAATAATAATAAATTTTATTAAAAATAGTCATCACCAGGCTAAACAGTGGTGTGAGTATCCGTATGGGCTGGAGCTCCGTGTAACAGAAAATCTCTTGTGAAAATCATTTACCCGAAGGAGGACCCCTGGGGAGGCGTCTCCTCAGAAATATAAAGAACTGTTGCTAGGTAAAATTTCACCCTAATATTAAGGGTAAGCTTCAAAGCAGGGATCTTCACTGTCTTGGTCGCCTTTCTATTCACATGTCTAGTGTGTGGAACGAGGAGAGGTTTGATGCAGTATCTGTTAAAATGATACACTTGTGGGGGCCCTGGCCGACCCATGTGAATGGGGCTGGGCTCTCTGGTCTACCCCAGCCCACCCCACGCACACCATGAGTATGAACTCATCGTCAGCATCCTTCCTCATTCACTTACATACCTGGCCCCTATGGGCCCTTGAGGGTGTGACCCCAGCTTGGTTGTGAGCCATGGAGCTCTGTGGCTCAGGCTGTCCTCCAGACAAAGCACATCTGTAGACAGACTGGCCCCGGAACCCCTTCTTTCCCTGCTTTCCCCCATGGACTCCTGCAAGGCCTTCAGGGCCAGATCTTTCTTCTAAAGGCCAGCCCCACCTGACCTAGGAGGAGAGGTGGAAGAGTGGTTATTATAAGAAACTGCACTGAAAAACTTGGGGGAATTCAGTTTCTAAGAGGGGTAAGATGAAGCCTTAATCCTTCAAGCTTAGGTTTTTCCATTTACGGTGCCCTCCTGGGAATATCACGGAGACGGCTGCTGCAGAATCAGTTTAGCTTATGAATCATTCCTATTGAAGAGGAGATTTCAAAGGCACGAGGCTAAAATCCTCGGGGCTCTGATGGTCTGCTCACACTGATTTCAAGTGTGGGGTATGACTCTGGGGATCTCATTTCTGTGGTGTTGACTCACTTTCACCATTTTGCTGGAGACAAAGTGGTTCAGAGGCTGCACAGATGAAAGGAAGCACGAGGCTTATTTGCCACCTCCTCTGGGCAGGGCAGGACTGCCTCCTGACACCGGCCTCCTCCAGCAGCACAGCTTGGCACGCAGGCCCAGGGTCCCGTGCTGCTGCCCCAGCCCCTCGTCTGCCCCTCGTACTGGGTCCCAGACCCTTACCCTTCTAGATTCGAGAAGAGTTGTGGTTATGCATTTTCTAAGTCCCACCCACTCCAGTAGCCCTGGACTGAAGCTCCTTCATAGGTCAGAAGGCATAGGAAAGAGAGAGGGCATCTCCTGAGGTATCAATCAGTCTTAGGTCTTTGGAAAATTACCAAATAATATACAAAACAGCAACAACCTCCCCCAAATGCATTATTTAAAATTCTACAAAATCTTAGAGAATGGTTACAAAAGCGACCTTTTTAGCTTAGGGATTAAGTCATTTTTGGAAAATGCAAGGTGTTCGCTAAATATCAGATATTTAAATTGTAAACCATGGAAGGAAAGACCTGACTCCAGAATAAAATCTGGGTTGTGTTTATGTGTGGGGAGAATAAGTGGGTGCACAATGCTAGCAAAGAGATGTGTCAGCAATATAAAACTAAAATTGGAGGCATTTCGTTAATGAGAGCACCTTCCGCCTTCTGTGTTTCACGGCGTGAACCCCACAATGGCTGCAGCAGTGCTGGGGACCCAGAGGGACTCAGGACCAAAAGGGAACTGGGTTCTGTGTAGATCACGCTCATAGCTGCCTAAATCCTGTGGCCCTTCTCCCCTTGTGGGTTTTAAAAGGCTGATTGCATTCAAGTGTGACTTTTGTAAATCACATCCTCATGCCTACAGGAGGAAGGAGTGGGGGAACATGAGGCCTTTCCTAGTGCCCTCGCCCTCATTTAATCTGGTTCTTTCTGGGGGGTGATTATAATTGGAGAAAAGGTAGGGGATATTTTAGAGGAAAAGGAGGAGTCCCAAGCTAAAGTCGTAGCGACTGCAGGAGACCAAGAAATCCAGGACCCTGGGATGCAATTAAATTTAAAGAAACCCTGTGAGGTTTGCACCTCCTGAAAGGAGCCATGTGTCCCATTCGGAGTTACACATTGTGATCCTTCAGAGGCTGTGAGAGGGGAAGTTAACTCCCTGAATGGACGGAGCTGTCACATTTTAAAGCTGTTTTCATTTTAATCCCCCCATTTTTGTTCTGGCATCCAGTGGTGATTCCATTACCTTCTATTGAGGGGAACAAACAGATAAGCCTACATAAAATTGGAAAGATTAGCTTTTGAAGATGGAGCCATTTAAGGTGGATTTTCAGTAAAAATATGAAACCCTTGACAGTGCTGGTGCTGAGCTGCACGGCCTGGGCTGGGGGGCCTGTGCTGGAGGCGGTGCTGCGGGTGCTGGCTGAGTGGGAGGAGAGGGCTGCCTGTTGTTCAGCCTGTTGTTCAGCCTTACCTCGTGGCCTTCAGCAGGATGACATGGATGGATGGATGGAGACACTGGTGTTTTTCCGTCTGCCCAAAGGGACACCTGGAGGCCATCGAATGGGTACAGGCTGCCCTGCTGCCGAGAGAGCCTGCCAAGTGGTTTTAATGAGCCTGTCTGAGTGCATTGCGCTGATGGTTGCCTGCTTTCCCATCTTAAGTGTTTCAGGAAACGTTCTCCTTGGGAGGCTGAGGAGGCCACCGGGGCTGGAACAAAGGGAGTGTTGTTTTGTGGCCCCAGGCCTGGGTCTGGTTTCTTTTTTCATACTTGCTCCTAGAAGGCCATACTTAGAAGTGGGGAATGCTTTTGAAGAAGATTATACAGGATCAAATATTTAAAAAAATGTTTTTTGCTCTCTCGGAGAGGTGTGATGATGAAGTGGCACATTTCTTTGCTATTAAAGTCCATCCCTGATCCTCCAGCCAACGAAACTTGTTCTCTAAATGGGCATCATATTTTCTCGGTTCCTGTACCTTTTGCTATGTTATTCCCATCTCATCTTCTCTGCCTGCATTCTCTCTGCCCGCCCCTAATCTTACTCGTCCCTCAGGAGTCCGTTCCTCAAGGAAGCCATCCCATACCTCCCCACCTGAAGGAACTTTCTCTTCTCTGGCAGCTGTCTGCTTCTTTACCACCTTTGATTGCCCGAGGTTAATATTTGTGGTATGTGTGTACATATGTATTTCATTTGCAAGGTAATTAGCCTAGAAGCAGTGAAGGTCTTCTTAATGGAACACCTCTGTCTCATACCACCCCCCGCCCCCAACACACACACACCATCACCCCACACCACACATATCAACCAACACATGTACACACCACTCACACCCAGACTCTGCATACACACACAGTCCATACCACACATATACACCACACACTCAACACTTCACAAATCAATACGCCCCCCCCCCACCCCCCGCCACCCTTCCCACCACCCCACATACAGATTGTTTGAGCAGGCTCAGTCCACTAGCATAAAGGCCCCCACCACACTTGGGCTTATGAGCTAGATCAGGCATCCCAGTCCTTAAGCTTGTAGTAGATTGGGGATCACTTCTGTCTCCAAATGAACATGTGCTTCCCTCTCATGTGATGTTGGGATGGAGGCTTCAGGGAAACAAAATGGGGAACGTCCCAGACGTACCGCTGGTTCTGCCTTGGTTCTTTCTCTGACAAAGGCAAGCAAAGGATGTCAGTACTGTATTAACGAGGAATCAATTGGAAGATGAATCTGTTGCAAGGGAAAGTGTCTAGGGAAACAGATTCCTGTCCATTATAGATGATATTTGGATTATCAATCATTCTTCTTTGGTTGTGGATACTGAAGAGAAGCTAAAGGATTGTGATGAATTATTAAAGAGCTCTGGAGAGAATGGGGGTTGGGGAGCTTTTAGACTCAGAGTCAAGACTGGCCCCATGGTGTGACAGTGTTTGACAGGAGAGATCTGTGTTTTCACCGCAGGTGTCATTTCTGCCACTGCCTCCACAGTCCCGGCCAAATGAGGTCCAGTATTGATTTGTTACATGTTTATGCAAATTAAAGTGACCAACATTTGAGCCGCTCAGTCTCTGTCATTTGATGTTGTTTCATAAGATATATATTAATGGTGTGGGGTACAAATATGTTTCAGACCTCAGGTCAAATAAACTCCAACAACTGCTTAATCAGAGCCTGTTATGAACTGGATAATAGAATGCTAACGTTTATTGTCACTGAGCATATTATATATAACTGTTGCATTTCAATTCCACAATAATTCTTTGCAGTAGATACTGTACCAAGTATCATAAGCAGTGGGGGTAAGCGCGTATGCGTGGGCCACCTCTGCCTTTAGGAAGTGTACAAACTAAAAAGCAATCTAAACACATCAAATGATTTAAAATCTTAGCAGGTGAGACATTCCAAGGAGTGCCCAATTTCCCAGGTAGGAGAGCTTTGCCGGAGACCAGAACCAGTGCCTGAGACCAGAACCAGTGCCGGGCCACGTGACTTCTTGCTTTTGGTAACTCAGCTGATGGCTTGAAAGTCAACCTGTCAGCCAGGCACTATAGGGCGAACCCCTGAAGGAAACAGAGGATTTGATTGAGAAAAACAAAGCAGACTTTCCAGGTATTGGGCAGATTTGGAACAAGGATATGAGTCAAGATTGTAAAGGTTGTGGGGCTTCCCTGCAACACTAAAGAGCACACTGGGTTTTGTTCTAGGTCCATTTGTTCCTAGAGTTTTAAAACTTTCAAAGGGTCTGAAAAAATTCTCTGGGAATATAGTTGCCAGTGACCACTTAGATTGCAGGCTATTTGTGCACTGACGGCTTGTTTAACGTGAGTATTCATTTCAGTGTGGGCATAAATCAAACTCTCTGGGCTCTGGCCGGTGGCTCACCAAAAGGTTTTGGGTTTGATTCCCTGTCAGGGCACATACCTGGTTTGCGAATTCAGTCCCCATTGGGGCATATACAGGATCGATATTTCTTTCTCACATTAATGTCTCTCTCTCTCTCTCAAATCAATGAACTTATCCTTGGGTGAGGATAAAGATCAATCAATCAATGTCTCTGGGAATTGTCCACCCAGGTCCATGCTAAGGCTATTCTTTAAATACTTGAGAACTCTTCTTTAGGAATTGCTTTCATATCCTATTAGTATCTTTTTGAAAGTCTGGATCTTAAAAATGAATTTAGTGATAGTTCACATAGCAGAGGAATCCATCTATTCCTCTACCCCTTAGATAAAATGAATAGAATTAGAAAAAAAGAGGTAAAGAATAAGAGAATATTTTAGATTTGGATTTATGGATTAGAAACAGCCAAATATTATTTGAAACAATTCAGGCTGGGAATTACAGGTTTTAAAAAAGAAATTAATAAAATGGATTTTCTTGATTGGATTATAAAGTGATGAAGGTATTTTCTAACAAGGTTCTTAGGGATTTTTTAATAATGATGATATTGATAAATCTGTCAGCTCTCAAGGTGACTGCGTTAAAACAGGTTAACTTGGGTTTGTAGGTTCTGGTCAGGTTGTAAAAATTCAAAAACAAAACCCACATTTCAGTATGTTATAGTCACCCATATATTCTCAGCCATCCTCCTTCCTTCTCTTCCTCCTTCCTACCCACCGACTCCCATGCACACTGATTTGAGTGGCAGCAGGAAGGAGCACTGTGGGGCTTCACAACCTCACAACCTCACAGAACAAGCTGTCCTCTGCTGGGAAAGAAAACCGACCCATGGAGTTATTGGGCTAACTTTAGGTGAGCTGGCATGTCAGGTGGCTCCCAGGGAGTAGTCAGTCCCTGCGTGGGTGCTCCTGTTCCACAGAGTTCTGTTTAAGAAACCCAGGTGTGGTCTTTTCTCATCTCATGTGTTTTCCGGCGCTCTAACACCTGTGTTTGTGTTTTTCTCCCACTAGGGGAAGCTGCATGACCCTCAGCTCATGGGGATCATCCCAAGGATTGCACACGACATCTTTGACCATATATATTCCATGGATGAAAACCTGGAGTTTCACATCAAGGTAAGTGTCATTGATTGAGACCCGAGAAAAGAAACAGGGCCCAAAATTATGTTTCTTAGCTTTCTTCCTATTGTGTACACATGAAAAAGATGGTCTTCTCATTTAAATGACATTTCTGTGGTAAGCAGAGCCGTACTTTTTATTTAATAATTAAGGTAATGCTTAGCTGTCTGGATGGTTTACTGAGGTAATGAGATAAGTTAAAAGGCCTCTTTTGGATGGAATCACCTTCATAGCTGCCCGACTCCTGCCCTTTGCCCTGTGGGTTTCTACGATGTGATTAGAATGGGTCCACAAAGCGTGTTCCGTGGAACACAGCCCTCTTAGTAATCATAGAAATATGAATACTTACATTTACCAGGGAAAATACTTATGTGGCCATATAGGCTGCGAACATGCTTCATTGCACAGTGTTACATTTATCACATGCTTAGATATTCTATTGTGTAACGCAGTTCTGCAAAGGGGACCTGGAGACTGTTACATTTCCCAGCTTGGCTGGGCATGTTTTTCCTCTCTTGCACTAGTGTATTGAGGAGCACACACTGAGAAATGTTGGGGAAGGGAATTCTCTTTCTCTCCCTTGTTTTTTTGTTTGTGTGTTTAAACCAGAACTTATGTTTTTGCTTAAATTCATGTTGGTATTTGGGGTATATTCATTGGCACTTCTTTGTTTGCAAGTGACTGAAAGCCACTTGTTTAAATCAAACAGAGGAAGTGGTTCTAAGATAGAGAGCCTGAGAGCAGCCCTGGAGGAGACGGGTTGTGGAAAAGCAAGAAATCCAGGTCCTACCTTTTCTTTTTAACTTAAACACATTGAGTTATAATTCACATACCATAACATTCACTCTTTTAAAGTATACAATTTGATAGTTTTTAGTCTCTTTCCAAAATTGTATAACCATGATCACTACCTAATTCTGGAGCATTTTATAACCCCCCCAAAGAAACGCCATACTCATTACAGTCTCTGCATTTCTGCCTTCTTGCTTTCTTTGGTGTGGGTGTGTGTGGTTGGGGGGTGGGGGGGAGGTGCACCATGGCAGCCCCTGCTCCACATTCCATTATTGCTAATTCCCAATTCCCCAGGAAGCTGGCTCACTGGCCCAGCCTGCAATAGGTGATCCCCAAGCTCCAGTTAGCTGTGTCCAGGATGCACATCACTGACTGACCCCCACCATGGTTACTGGGGCAGAGTGGACAGGAGTGGGCAGTTCTAAGAAGATGTGAAGCTGAGCAGATCAGTCAAGAGGCTCATCATCCTTGAAAGCTGAGACCTTATTCCACTAGTCCCACCATTTTAGAGTCGAGGAAACGGAAGTTCAGAGCAGTAGATCCAGATGTCCAAAGTTACATATCAAGTCATTGGCAGAGTTGAGATTTAGCTCTTGATCTGACCAGCACATGCAGTAACTTTTCCATTATATTAAAATTCTACCCTTTTTACTTCTGCCAAGTACCTTTCATAAATTATGCCCAATAATATGAGGTTGAGAACTACTGCTCTAGGATTTTCCATTCTGCCTACACGTGCTTTCTGCCTCCCAGGCCAAATGTTCTCTTTTATGTTCATGGGTATTTTTGGAAATCTAAACAAAGGAATGGACAAAAATTATTTTAAACGATGCATATGAGCATGACCAATGGACACAGACAATAGGAGAGTGGGGGCATGTGTTGGGGGACGGGAGTGGGTGGGGAGAGGTTTACTCATTACCTCAGTAAACCATCCAGACAGCTAAGCATTACCTTAATTATTAAAGTACCTTTCATAAATTATGCCCAATGACTGCCCAATTATAAATTGCATCTGGCAAATCTTTTTCCTTCTAGTTCCCTTTGTTGGCTAAAGCAGCTTCTTGCCAGGGTTCTTTATATCTAAGGACACAGAAGCTTGTTGCTTTGATGGGATCAAGATTTAGGAGCTTAGTGCATCTTTAAGGCTGTTTGCATTTAAATACCTCCAACTACTGTGAGGTTCTTAAGGGATAATCCTGGAATAAGATGTTAAACCAATTACTGCCCTCAAAATAGGGTCTCCCATTAGAATTTTATTAAGATAAAAACAGCCCCAGCATGAAGCGGGGGAGGAGAGGAGGAACAACATTCAAGTCTCTAGAGCTCAATTTGACTGCCCAGGTTCCTGTTCTCTGTTTTAGTTATGCTTACTTATTTCATAAATAAAAGTTAGCTATGGAATACTCCATATTTTGGACTGAGTAGTGACAGGCCTAATCAAGAAAAAGGGGCTTGATTAAGGCAATATTAAAAATCTGTTCCTTAAGGTAGGTCCCACAGTGGTTTTAAACATTTCTGATTATGATTATGAGTTTTCTTAATGCCAAACAATGCCTATTTATTTTTCTTTTACCTGGCCTCACAAAGTATTTGAAGTGACAAAATTGGCAAAATTAAAAGTGGTCATTACCTGTTGTGGTAAAAAGAAATGAATAACTCAGATTCTCTTTCTACATATATTAAATGTAGACAGAGTTCTAATGGCCAGATTTGCTAATATCTAGTTCTAACTGCATTTTAGAGGTACTTAATTTTATCTATACTAGTAACCTATGGAAATAAGGGCACATGTTTAAGATCTCAAAGATACCAAAAATGTCTTATTGAAAATCAGAGAATTCTGGAATACATAGAATGGGTTGGAGTGAGTTGCATTAAGGGCTGGGTTAGGGAGAGATATTTAAGATTAGAAGCCACAGGCCTATAGGATTCCAGGAACAGGAGCAGTGGGTCTTTCAAAGGTCAGGTAGATGTATCCATAGCAGACACAGCTCAGTAACGGGAGTTTGACAGACATTTGAGCAGGCAGAGATTGTTAAGGAGACAGACAACCTGGAGAGGATGCTCAGATAGAGATTCCAGGGTTTGAAGTTGGGACCCCAGATCTCAGAGATACTAGGAAGTCATGAGATGCAGACGAAAGATAATGAACCATTGCCAGGTAACAAAGTCTTTGCTTGTTGCCTGACTAGGGGCAAGACTGGTCCAGAGCTGGGATGTGGAGGTGAAATTTCATCTGTAGAATCACATCCCAATTTCACAACTATTTTTTTCAACTTTATTTTTTAAAATAATTAAAAAAATCTTTATTGTTGAAAGTTTGACATATATCTCCTTTTCCCCCATTGACCTCTCCCCACCCACTCCCGTCCCCCAACACATGCCCCCACTCTCCTATTGTCTGTGTCCATTGGTCATGCTCATATGCATCGTTTAAAATAATTTTTGTCCATTCCTTTGTTTAGATTTCCAAAAATACCCATGAACATAAAAGAGAACATTTGGCCTGGGAGGCAGAAGGCACGTGTAGGCAGAATGGAAAATCCTAGAGCAGTAGTTCTCAACCTTGGCTGCATATAGAATCACCTGGGAATCTTTTCAAAATCCTGATTTCTGGGCCTCATCCTCTGGAAATTCTGTTTCTTTGTTATGGGGTGAGGCTACAACATTAGTAACAAAGAAACAGAATTTCCAGAGGATGAGGCCCAGAAATCAGGATTTTGAAAAGATTCCCAGGTGATTCTAATGTGCAGCCAAGGTTGAGAACCACTGTCCAAGAGGGACTTTTTGAAATCATCAAGTCTAATGGCTTCATTTAATAGATGGGAAAATTGAGGCCTAGGATCTTGGTTACATGTGAATTAAATTTTCAAGATCACATCTTGTTCTCAGACGTTAGCCATCGTATGAACAACCTGGGGAGTTGAGAAACTGATTCCTGGGTCCTATTCTTTGAAATTCGGCTCCAGGAGGACTGCAGTAGGATTCAGGCCTTTGCAATTTAAACAAATGCTATGGGAGATGCTGATGTAGGTGGTGCTGGAGCTGTAATTAATTTGAGAGTAATTAATTGGAAGGCTTTTTTTCCCTCTTACAGGCTAGTTGTCTTTCATTAAATCAGATTTTGTTCAAATCCTTCCTGGACTCCCTAAACCCGCCACCATCATGATTTCTCTCCCAGTTACTTTTCTGAGCTCTTATAGTTCTAAGTAAACTGCCTTTACCACCCTCCCCACCTCCTCGAATGTTTCGGTCATGCTCCCACCCTAGTCAGATGAGGCTGTCAATATCAGGCATAAGCTAAGGCCTAGTGATTTTTGGCAATTACTTGCAAAGAACGTTTTCTATTCCAGCTGTTGTCATCTCCAGAAGTTTGCTTGGTGCTCATCTAAAGTAAAAGCTAGAGTCCTCCTGTAAGTGGCTGTCTAGCACATGATGTAATTAACACCTGGCTCGAACCATAGGGAGCTGTGGTGAGCGGGGATGGCGAGTGGCCACACTGAGCTGGGACTCCTAGAGCAGGCTGGCACAGCGGGAAGCAGGGGATACAGGAGAGAGGGCCGGGGCTCCGCACGCTGTGGCTCTGAGTCTTCACTCTGGACCCCTTCCTACTCTTCTTAGCTGATGCATGAGAAAAGCTTTTGTAAGTTCTAATAATGATATTTTTGTAATATAGTGTGGCATTTCTATTTCAAACTTAATTTGCTTTTAACAGGTTTCCTATTTTGAGATCTACTTGGACAAAATCAGGGACTTACTCGACGGTAAGTAACCCAAATGCTTGTCCTTTATTTGTTCTGTAACTAAAATGTAGGGAGGTTGAACTGATGCATAGCATTTCTGCTTAAGGAATTAATGAAAGTGTATTAGAGGTGTTCTCTTGCCTTCAGACTGTCTGCTTATTCTCGTCCAAGGCTTAAACTTTTTCATTTATATTCCAAAGAGATAGGTTTGCCTATCTTTTGTAACAATTTCTGTTTTTCCACCAATACAGGGTCTTTAACTTTTCTTTTCTTCTTTGCATGTCATCCTTATTATCTCTATAGTATCCAAGACAAACTTGGCTGTTCATGAAGATAAAAACAGAGTCCCATATGTAAAGGTATGAGGAAAACTTGATTGATGTGCAACTAATTTATCTCCAGTCACTGTCATAATAATCAGTACATGAGATGCCCAGAATATTACATATATAAAGCACATACAGCTATTTAATCATGTTTCTTACATTTAAAATTCACCTGGTTAAAAAATAGACATTTAATGTCTTCAGTCATATCTCTCTATGTGAATGTATCACAGATGTCTAATCCCATGCTGAGAATTGCAGAGTGAACAAACATTTATTATTTACATTTAAAAGGGCTTTGGTATTGAGTATAGTTGTTTATATTTTGCTGTTAAGGGAAGCCTATTATAGCATTATGTAGCACTTTAAAGTGTTTAATTAAAGTTGGGGCTAGGGTAATAAATAAAGATGGAAGACAAAGCAAAAGTTCATCTATTTTTCTGTCATTGATTTTCTTCTTTATTTCTGTCTTCACTGCTGTTGAGTTTGAATATGTACTCAGAAATCTAGGGAAACTCGGCTTCTTTTCTGGTTTATTCCTGAGTTTCCTAGGGGTTGCTCAGCCTTCTTTTTAAATGTAGAATTCAACCCTTAGGCAAGGGGAGGAAAATTGTTGGATCAGCCTGGCAGCCCTTCTCTTTCTCTGCACATCTCTAGGAGTAATGGGAATATATTTAGCTGTCTCAAGTATTGTTACTTTTCAGTATTTTAACAGTGAACCTGAACTGATTGTCTTGCAGGGATGCACTGAGCGGTTTGTATCCAGCCCCGAGGAAGTCATGGATGTGATAGATGAAGGCAAAGCAAACCGACACGTGGCTGTAACAAGTAAGCATGGTGTGGTGTTTCCTCCCCTCTCACTTTGGATACAAATGTTTGCCTACCCACCAGGAGGTCCATATGAAATAAAGGCGGTTGAAAGCAGTGACTGAGATGAAAACACAGGGAAGTGCAGTGTATCTAGGCAGGCTGTGGGAAACAGCGCCTCCTGCTGTCCGGGGTACTCTTGGCACTATTGGGTGGGACTCATTGGAGCCTGGCAACAGCCTAAGCCTGAACCCTGGGGCAACCAACCAACCAACCAACCAACCAACTAACCAACTTACCAACCAAAGTGGGGGAAAAGTAAACTTCTAAGTTTACTTATTTTAGCTATGTTACTGTTCAGGTATTTTTTAAAAATCCAAACTGACAAATTCTACAGGCATACACATGGGAAGAAACCATATTAGAGCCCTGCCCTCTGTATGAAAGGAAAAGGAAGGAGGACCTCAGAAAGTGGAGAGCATTATTGAAACCTTTTCGATGTCGTGTTAATCACACATTCAGCCCAGCTTGGTTACTTGTCCTTTCCTTCCTTGCATGTGCACACACGTCAGGGAAGCAGGCCCACAGTGTTTGATGGCAGAGGTTCCATGAAAAATGGGGGCTGTCCGTCTTACTCAGAGGGATATGGATGAATGAGAGTGACTTCCTATGAAGACGAGCTGAGAGAGCTAAGGCTTTCTAGCTTAGAAGAGAGAAATAAATCTGGGAGGACTATGGGCAGTGCACTATTTTTAACATATGTAAAGGACTGATGTTAGGAGACAGTCACCTTGCTTTGTTTGATCTGAATGGCAGGACTGTTGAAGCTACAGGGTGGCAGGTTTTGGCCTAGCTACCACAGGAACTCTAACCCTGCCCCAGATAAAGCCTGCCATCCGGAGAAGGCGTGAGTTCCTGTATAGGTGGAAGAGAGACAGATATTGACTGATCTAGCCTCTGTAAGTCTCTCCCACCCAAGGTTCTATTATTCTGTGATCCAGCACTGTAATTCTTTACCTATTCTCTACCCCAACAAACATATCAGGTGTTATTCATATATGTGGCAAATTTCATAGGGGAGCCTAGAATTGTGTACTTCTTTCTCTTCTGCTTACACACACACACACACACACACACACACACCCCAACACTGATACACATACTAGTACATGAAAGAATGTAAGACTCATATTCTTATGGTAATAGCATCACTCATTTTTAAAGAAATTACTCACTGGGTTTCTTAAGCTATTGTTAGTCATGAATTATTCATGACAAGCCATGTTGGCCCCTTGGTTCAGAACTTTTGGTCCAGAACGTTACTATTTTTCTTATCATTCTGGTAAAGTGGTTTTTAAAATTATTGTGATAAAATAAACATAACATAAAATTTACCATTTTAACCATTTTAAATGTACAGTGGCAGTAAGTACATTCACAATGTTGTGCAGCCATCACCACTATTTACAGAATTTTGGAACTCCATACGCCCATTGAATAATAACTCCCTACACTTTCTCCTCCCAACCCCTGGTAACCACCATTCTATTTTCTGTCTCAGTGAATTTGACAACGAGGTACCTCATATAAGTGGAATGATACAAGTTCTTTTATGACTTGCTTATTTCACTTAGCGTAATGTCTTCAAGATTCATTTATGTTGTGTCATGTTGGAATTTGTTCTTTTTAAGGCTGAATAACATTGCACTGCATGTATATACCACACTTTGTTTATCCGTTCATCCATAGATGGATACTTGTGTTGTTTCCATCTTTTGACTACTGTGAATAGTGCTGCTTTGAACATGGATGTATAAATACCTGTCCAAGTTTCTGCTTTCCGTTCTTTTGGGTATAAACCCAGAAGTGGAATTGCTGAATCATATGGTAATTCTATTTTTAAGGTTTTAAGAAACTGCTATACTGTTTCCTATAGTAGCTGCATCATTTGCATTCATATCAACAGTACACAAGAGTTTCAGTTTCTCCACATCCTTGGTAACACTTATTATTTTCTGTTTTTGTTTGTTTTTGGTTTGCTTTGGTAGCCATCCTAATGGATGTGAAATGGTATCTCATTGTGGTTTTGATTAGTGATGTTGAGCATTTTTTCATTTGGTTACTGGCCATTTGTACATGTTTGGAGAAATGTTTATTCAAGTCCTTTACCCATTTTCAATTGGGTTATTTTTTTGTTGTTGATCTGTAGGAGTTTTTTATACATTGTGAATATCAATCCCTTATCAGATATATGATTTGCAAGTATTTTTTCTCATTCTGTGAGTTGCCTTTTTACTCTGTTGATAATGTCCTTTGATGCATAAAAGTTTTGTTTTTTTAAATACATTTTTATTGATTTCAGAGAGGAAGGAGAGGGGGAGAGAGAGATAGAAACATCAATCACTGATCGACTGCCTCCTGCATGCCCCCTATGGGGGATTGAGCCCGCAACCCAGGCACGTGCCCTTCACTAGAATCGAACCCAGGACCCTTCAGTCCACAGGCCCATGCTCCATCCACTGAGCCAAACCAGCTAGCGATGCATAAAAGTTTTTAATTTTGATGAAGTCCAATTTATTTTGTTCTCTAGTTGCTTGCGTTTTTGTTGTCAGACCCAAGAAATTATTGCCTATCCAGTGTCATGAAGCGTTCCCCCTATGTTTTCTTCTAAGGGTTTATAGTTTTAGCTTTTACATTTGGGTCCTTGATCCTTTTTGACTTAATTTTTTGTGTGACCTAAGGTAAGAGTCCAACTTCATTTTTTTTTTTTTTTGCATATGGATATCCAGTTTTCCGAGCACCATTTGGTAAAGAGATTGTACTTTCCCCATTGAGTGATCTTGACACTCTTGTTGAAAATTATTTGACCGTATTATGTGAGGGTTTATTTCTGGGCTTTCTGTTGCATTGGTTCATATGCCTGTCTTTATGCCAGTACCATACTGTTTTGATTATTGTAGTTTTGTAGTAAATTTTGAAATCAGTAAGTGAGAGACCTCCAACTTTGTTCCTTTTCAAGATTGTTTTTGATCTTTGGGCTACCTTGAGATTCCATATGAATTAGGATGGACCTTTCTATTTCTATAAAAAGCATCATTGATCCCACCTGGCGTGGCTCAGTGGTTGAGCGTTGTCCTAGAAACCAAGAGGTCGTGGTTTGATTTCTGGGGGTGTGCAGGAGGCAGCTGATCAATGATTCTCTTTCATCCCTGATGTTTCTATCTCTCTCTTCCTCTCCTTTCCTCTCTGAAATCAACAAAAATATATTTATATAAAAAAGAAAAGCATCATTGAGATTTTGATAGAGATTACATTGAATCTGAAGATCACTTTTGATAGTATTGACAGCTTAATATTAAATCTTCTAATCCAAGAACACAAATGTCTTGATTTTTTGTCTTCTTTAATTTCTTTTAGCAACATTTTGTAGTTTTCAGTGTACAGGTCTTTTGCTTCCTTGATTGTTTATTCCTAAGTATCTTTTTTTATTGCTATTTTAAATAGAATTGTTTTCTTAATGTTGTTTTTGGAATGTTCATTGTTAGCATGTAGAAATGCAACTTACTTTTATGTGTTGCTTTTGTATCCTGCTAGTTTGTTGAATTTATTCTAACATTTCTTTGTGTGTGGAATCTTCAGGGTTTTTTCCCATATAATGTGGTGAGGTGGTTTTAAGAAATGATTGTGAGTAGGGGTTGAATAAGACAGTCGCTGGGGTCTTTGCTTGCCTGGTGAACAAAGACCAGGGAACAAAAAGATTTTTATTTCCAGTACTCAGTCCTAATGCAGCATATTTAATCTTTGCACCTAGCATGGGTTATAGAAGAGGTGTATGTTTTAATCCATAATACTTCCTAAAGAAAGTTTATGATACTACTGATAAGGCAACACTACGCACATGAAGAAGATGGAGTACGTCAGGGACTGATCATGATGATGAAGCCTGAGGGAGTTAGAGTGAGGCAGGGAAGGAGGCTGTGAGCTCCTCCGGCAGTGGGCCAGCTAGTGTGGGTGCTGGAGGCGGGTCTCTCGGCTGGAGCAGAGAATCTGTTATCTTAAACCAGTGGTTCTCAACCTGTGGGTTTCGACCCCTGAAAATACATCCTGCATAGCAGGTATTTACATTACGATTCATAACAGTAGCAAAATTACAGTTATGAAGTAGTAACGAAAATAATTTTATGGTTGGGGTCACCAGAACATGAGGAACTGTATTAAAGGGTCGTGGCATTAGGAAGGTTGAGAACCACTGTCCCATCAGCTAAGATTTTAGATTAATTTCTTTGCCACTTAGAGGTATTTAAAATCTTTCCTTTCTGGAATGAGCATTGCTTTTAAGGAGAAATGGTGGTCTCAGATCATTTTTAAAATTGGCTTGACTTTAAGAAATGGAGCTACTAGATGACTTGTTGTGCTTTTCAGATGAGTGGCTGGCTACCTAAATGTATGTGTTTTTTGTAGAACAGTAACTGTTTTCCTTTTTAGACATGAACGAACACAGCTCTAGAAGTCACAGTATCTTCCTGATTAATATTAAACAAGAGAATGTAGAGACCGAGAAAAAACTCAGTGGGAAGCTTTATCTGGTTGATTTGGCCGGGAGCGAAAAGGTAATTGGTTCTTTATTTGTATTAGCTATAATTTCCCCCTGTTATTTGCTTCACTGTGCAATGGTATAATTTTTATGTCTTTCTATTTCCTGGTTTTAAAGAGCTTTTAAAGTTTCTGATGTTGTGCCAAGATGTTATTAAATTTAACCTTTGCTTCCCCGCTCCTCTTTCCCGGTCCTGAAGTCCCTGTTCACGTCGTGGGGTGCTTTGTATGCCAGCTCTGATTTATGCCTAATGGGCTCTGAAGATGACATTGGGCAAGTGTTGGGGTGAACTTAGCTTGGCAGTGAGCATTTGCAAATCTGCCTTTGCCAAGCCCTTCTGAGAAAAGGGAAGAGCTCCACGTTGTTCCAGACGCACATAGGCCAGGGAAGTGCATTGCGTTGGAATGTGGCGGCCCTGCCTTGGCAGGTGTGTTGCTGATGGAAGATCGGGAACCTGGGGCTCCCCCCCTTCCCAGCTTCTCTCTGCAATGGTGTGGAATGGTGCCTCACGTGGCAGCCTCACTTTTTCCTCAGGCTATGGGGCTACGAGCCGCAGCCCTTCTCTGGTTTTGTCAGGGCTCTTTTTGGCATCTGTATCCTGTCCCATGCTCTCCCAGGCCCTGGCTGAGGCCATACTTCAGACCGAATAAGCTTCCAGAACCTTCTATCTGCCCCGACCAGCCTCACTTCCATGGCAGCTCCAGATGCTCCTGCTGCCACACCCTGGCTTGGGGACTCTGCCCCCTTGGGGGACACCACGTGGCCTGTCCATCATCACTGCCATGTGCTGACTGTCCCCAATCAGGGCTCACCCTGGAGCTGTCAGTCTCCTGGACTGTGTCATTGATCCCCACTTAACTGCACCCCACTGCTGAGGGGCCGGACGCCACCTTATGGCCACTAATATCCCCGTAAGTGATGGCTACGTGTGTTGTTCTCATGTCTGCCTTTGTAAAGCCGTGAGCAGAAAATCACCTGGATATTCCTGGTTGGAAATCTAAAATTTTACTGGCATGGGTTTGTACCTTTAAACAGGCGCACCAGAACGGGGATGCAGAGCAGCATTGGCAGCCAGGCTCCACTTTGTTGCCGCACCAACTGTACGGGTCCCCACAAGGAGCGCAGTCACCCTTCGCTCTGCACAAGCTTGTCCTCTTTCCCTTTGGAGCACAGGGATGAGCACTTAGGGCACAAGCGCTGTCCTCTGCACAGGGCTGGTGGTTCTCGCTCATTATGATACTTACGAGACATTTGAGAGTTGTGGTCCCACGCCCTTTCTCCTGCTCACACGTGTTTTCCTTTGCCCTGGATGCATCTACACGGATGTGTCAGTGTGCCCTAGGAGAACAGAACTCCGAGCTTTAGTCCCCGATTCCTCTAAGTGGTGTTCTTCCCTTAGGCTGGCGACTGGACATCCCTGGAACTGAAATTTTTCTTGTCTGGAAGAGGGAGGAGTTGTACCTGTCTTGCATATTTCATGGAGTTAAGACGCTCCGATATGAAAGCGTGTTAAACAACGCCATGTGAATAGACTGTATTGTTTGCGGCCCATGAGCTGTATTAGTTCTCTGTCTGTAAGCAGGGGTACCCCCACACACAATTCCCAGAGAGATGAGAATCTATCCTATTTGAAAAAATCTACCCCTGGACACGCATTCATTCATCTCTGTTGTTAGGAGTTTCTCCTTTATACATAATTGAAACCCGTCTTTGTGAAGTTAAAAATTACTTCCCCACTTTTCTTTCTGTAGACAGCAGCTGCTGACCTGGCATCGTCCGTCCAGTCAGCAGAGCTATGAATCATGTTGAGTTCCCCTTTTTTCTAGCATCTGTGAACTGCTCTCTCCCGACAGCAAATACTATAAATACTAAATTACCAGCAATAACAGCAGAGGAGGAACGGTGTGTGCTCCCTCTGGCTGCGGAGGAAAAAAGACAACTTCTCGATGTAATATACATTTTCATGACTTTTCATACCTAAACTAAAAATGTTGATGACACAGTAGCCATTTGTGTAAAGAGCTCTAGTTGAGTGTTTCGAAGATGCTGACTATTTTCAAGGCCACCGGAGGGTTTGGAAGGCGGGATACATATTGCCTGGGGGTTTGTCCTCTGTGCTTGTCCGTCTTCCTGGTCTCGCATGGCCCAGGTATCACGCTGCCCCGGCCAGTGTATGCCATCCAAGTGCAATAATACAAGCTGCACCTTTTTTTGGACTTCTGCTGGCCTGTTTTAATTCCTGTATGCAAATGTGATATTTCAGAAGTTGATTTTAAACTCTTCTAATGCTCTTCATCTAAACTATTAATTCTAATTAAAGTTGTGTTAATGACTAAAAAAATAGTGTTTTTCCTTATTTTAAAATTTTATTGATTTTTTTTTAGAGAGAGGACGGGGGAGAGAGAGAGTGAAAGGGAGAGAGAGAAACATCAATGTGAGAGAGACACATCAGTCGGTTGCCTCTTGCACACATCCTGACCAAGGGCGGAACCCACAACCTGGGTATGTGTCCTGACCGGGAATCAAACCTGCCACCTTTTGGTGTATGGGAGGACTCTCCAACCAACTGAGCCACACTGGCCAGGGCAGTTATTTTTTTCTTTTGGATAATTGTACCTTTTTTCCTTACCATGGTTCAGTGAGGAAGGAACAGAGAGAGTATGGACAGCCATCCACACCACACCTTGTCCTTTGCCTGAAGTTGGAGCTCATGGTTTACACGTTCCCAACATGTCCTTTCACTATGGCCCAGATAGCGTTTGCTCCTCCAGCTCCCCCTGGAGTGGAGGCTGCAGCTCAGTGTCCCAGGGCCAAGCCTTTTCCCAGTGACAGCACTTTCGGGCCTGCTTTTCCTGGATGATGTCCCCGGGGAAGCATCCGCGGCTCCACCACTGGAGGCTTTCCAGCCGTTCCCCTAAAGCTAATCGAGAGGAAAATGACAAGCGAGAGAGCAAATCCCCCGCCTCTGGCACAAGGGAAGGTTTTATCAGTGTGATCCTTACTTACTTTTCCTTCTCCTTGTATTTCAGGAGCCAGGAGGATTCACCGCCCCCACCTGCCCCATTTGCCCTCCTGTGAATTGGAATTTGCGACTGTGCTTTGCTGTCCTGTGCAGCTCACTGCTCTCTCTTTCATAGGTCAGCAAAACTGGTGCCGAGGGAGCTGTTCTCGACGAAGCTAAAAATATCAATAAGTCTTTGTCTGCTCTTGGAAACGTGATCTCTGCCTTGGCAGAAGGGACAGTAAGTGATCCTGGCCCCATCTATTAAATGATATTATGAGAAGTTGCCTTTTTGGGTCCGTGTGCTCTTTGCCACACACTCCAGAGATTTGCTTGTTTTGGTTTGGAAGGGCCAGAGGGAATCTTGGTGGTGGGCACCTTGCTTGCTGGGGGATCTGGCCCATTAAAACATGTGAATGGAAATGCTAATTTCCCAGAATGGGCACGCTAAACTTTGGCAAGATCCAAAGACGCGGCAACAAATTCTTATTTCACACATGTTTCTAAGCCCAGTGTCCTCAAAACTAACTTGCTTGCCTCTGTGTTTTTTCTTTGAGTGGGCTGTCACAACCAATGCTTTTTCTTTTCCTAAATAGAAAACACACGTGCCGTATCGGGACAGCAAGATGACTCGGATTCTTCAGGACTCTCTGGGTGGGAACTGTAGAACTACTATTGTTATTTGCTGTTCTCCTTCTGTCTTCAATGAAGCTGAGACCAAATCTACATTGATGTTTGGACAAAGGTGGGTGTGGTCTCGCTACTCATGCTGGGAGCTGGGTCATAGGAGTGGCAAGGGGCTAGTGTCGGACAGGAAATAGAGTGAAGGGGGCAAGTAACTTGTTACTAAATTGCATCTAACAGGAGATCTGTAAACTTGAGGCATCACTTATTGAAGCCAAAGGCATAATCATGTTTTAAAATAATGGGCAGGAATATGCCAATCAAAGGTATGATGTTAAAAAACAACACTCTAACTTACAATAGATGTGATTGTTGGTAATTCAGTGGAGTGTTGCTTTTGTTCTTGGAATTAAGTCTGAATCCCAGGCTCTGGCCGGGTAGTTCAGTTTGTTAGAGCATCATCCTGATATGCCAAGGTTGTGGTTTGATCTTCAATAAAGGCACATATAAGAAGCAATCAGTGAATGCATAAATAAGTGGAACAACAAAAATCTCTCTCTCTCTCTCTCTCTCTCTCTCTCTCTCTCTCTCCCTCTCTCCTCCTGCCCCTTCCCCTCTCTCTCTAAAATCAATAGTAAAAAGAAAAAAAATCTGCCTCTCGGGTTTACAGGTTTTCAAAGGTATACAACTCAAGACTGGTAACTAACTACGTTTAACTCCAATATTTGAAATTCATTGCAGAGGTGCTGATAGCACACCAGAAACTTAGATGAATGTAGAGTAGTTGCATAAGTATTAAAATGGGGGAAAGGAAGCCTCATACTAACCCTGGGGTAGGAGGCACAGAATATGTCGAGGAAAGGGCAAAACAGCAGCCATCTTCTCACCTTCAAAATGTCCATGTGAAATTTCCTAGATGTCTGGGCAATGGTAATAGGCAGGCAACAGAGACACCTCAGTAACCCTGAAACAACGGCCACATGTGTGGATTAATTCATACCATCCTTTCCTTTCTTGCCCCCCACCCCACCCCACCCCGCACCCCCCACCCCCATTACCCAAGGCCTAACCTGCAGTCATGGTCCCTCCGTTCTAGGTGTCACCCCCATCCTCCCAGCCTGGTGACCTCAGGTGCTAGTTCCCAGAATGCTTGGATGCTATGGATTTGGGTGATCTGAGCATCTTTAGTGCTCACTGGGCTGAGCCCGGACCTCCGGTTGGGAGATGTGAATTCCACTGCTGGCATTCCCTTTAATTCGGAACACTTGTGTGATCTTTAGACTAGTGACCAGCTCCCTGTGGGCTTTAGCAGCTTCATTTTTAGATGGATGTACAGAGCACTCCCTCTACCTTCCTCCTGGGAGTACGTTGTTTAGTTATACTCAAGAAATAGTTTTTAAGATCCCTAGAGAGAGCACACATGGGGGTGGGCATTCTGTATGGGAAATTGTGGCTTGTTTAAACTGCATTAAACCCCAGTCATTTCCTGAGCCCTCAACAGAACATAGAATTACACAGACATGGTACCTATGGGATGTCTAAATAAATAATAATTACACTGAAATGTTGTAGAACTAATATATCTTTTAAACTGGATTTGGGTCCTTTACTTCCTCTCAGATCACTTCCTTGATTAGCCAAATGCTTAGCTCACTGGATTGCAGAAGGATAGCACTTTCTTTTATAAATGAGTATTTGCTATGGGCAACGTAGAATGCTATGCTGATCATCCTGCCTGCCCTGCTCCCCCAGCTTCTTAAACTTAAGCTTTAACAGTTTCTTCTGAAGACATGTGTGAGCAAACCAGCACCAACTGCATTTAGAAAGGAAACATCTCTTTAAAAGAAATTTTTACTTGCAAGGCAAAAATCACCTGAACCTTTGCAAGCCAGAGTCATGCTGCGGCATTGGGCTGTCTCTCTCAAGGTTGCTGCTGTCAGTGGGCACTTGCAGTTGTCGATAGGAAGAGTTTAAGGAGCAAGTCCAAATGGTTAGTTTCTTTCTTCTGTTCTTAGTGAGCCAGTCATTATCATAGTCCTCATCACCGGCACTTTTTATTAGGGCCTAGTATTGCCAGGCATGTCAGAATCCTCTTAGAAATTTTACTAGGTACGAGGAAATTGAGGCTGAGGTTCAGAGCCATTAGGTGTGGTACCTGAGGCCACACAGCTGGTAAATGACTAACATGTCGGATATCATAGGGTGGAAACTGTATTATTTGACTCGCAGCCTCTTACATCCAGGGTGCTGATCAGGAACCTTGATGAGCATGGGCCCCCAGGATCAGTGACTCCAGGTTTGAAGCTAAGTTCTGCTCTGACCCATTCTCTCTCTCTCTCTCTCTCTCTCTCTCTCTCTCTCTCTCTCTCCCTCCCTCTCTTTCTCTCTCTCTCTTCTGTGTCAGCCTCGCCTGTAGGAAGAACTGTAATAACACCACTTCTGAGAATTGTTGGGAGGATTAAATGAGTTGCTTCAGGTTTTACTTAGCACAGGGCTGGCATGTAATTGGCATTCAGTGATCGCAAGTTCCCCTTCCCTGTCTTCAATGGTCTGAGACAACCGGATGCTCTGAGGCTTGGGAAAGGCATGGTAATGGACGGGGTAGGACTGTAATGTGACAGACAGGACTGAATGATGTGGAATTAGAATTAAGTTTCCAGAATGAAGAATGAAGTAAATACTGCTGATAATTTGAGATTCCAGACATGCCAATTATATTTTCAAATGAAATAGATTGGCCTCTAGTCTTTTGTCAGGGTCATCTGGATACTGAGCTCCACGAGGGCAGGGACTAGGTTTATCATTGACCTCAGTTGTCCCAACAAGAGCCTAGCACCAGCAGCACACACTAGATCAGTGGTTCTTCACCTTCTGGCCCTTTAAATACAGTTCCTCATGTTGTGACCCAACCATAAAATTATTTTCGTTGCTACTTCATAACTGTAATGTTGGTACTGTTATGAATCGTAATGTAAATATGTGATATGCAGGATGGTCTTAGGCGACCCCTGTGAAAGGGTCGTTCGACCGCCAAAGGGGTCGCGACCCACAGGTTGATAACCGCTGCACTAGATGGTCAATGAATAGGTGCTTATCAAATGAATGAACAGGTGAATCTAATGCGGACTGTGTAGGATTCATAGAACATGAGGGCACTTGCTGAACTGTGACACCATTGTGTCCAGAGGTTTGGCTGTGTTTAGATCTGGTTTGTTTTCCAGCCTATAATTAGAAATGTATGAGGTTTTGTTCCATGCCCTCTATCTCCGAGTTGCTTAATGGATTCTTCAAGGACATCTAACTTCTCTGTGGGGCCACTACCTGCTTTATTGTTAAATATATGCATTGAACCCAATTACACAGCAGACACGAGTCTGAACATCGGATTAGACATGGCATCTGATAACTAATGAGATTAAACACTTTGAACTCAGGAAAGACTGCCGGGCACATCTCAAATTCAGTGTAACGAGTGTTCATTATATTCTTGTTGCAGGGATGGCCAAACCTTAGGGCAGCATGAGATGCCACAGTTATTCCTCCGCAGTCTTTCAAGGACAGGAAGAAAGTCCATGTTTGTTGCTAGGCTATGCTGTAGTGATGCTCTGAATAAAACAATAGTATATCCTTTGAAGCAGTAGGAACATGGTAGAGTCCACAGGGGCCCGAGGGCAGCCTACCAAGTCAGCACTCTCCAAGATTCTAGATTAGGTCCTGGAATTTAAAGGGAAAAATTCCCTGTGTCTGTTTCCTGCTTTCAGTGAGGAAGTCTGGCTCTCCTGTATGGTCAGGCCTGTCCCCTTCAGTCCCGGAACGCCCAGCATTGTGTTAGTTAAGCTGTAGAAGCCCTTCTCTGTGTCCTCAAAGAGCTTTGAATTTAGTGGAGGAGGCAACACGTGAATTTCCAGACAGCAGAGCGTCAAAAAGCTGGGCTCTGCGGGAAAGCTGAGCGTTCCTGCCTGAGGGATAGGGCACTCAAATTAGAGCACTCCCATTGATCTTTTATTCTTCTGGCTCCCAGCCTTTTATTTTTCAGTCTTTAATTACTCTTCCCAAGTACTTTTATAGCACTATTCGAAAAGGATATTGATAAGTTTTAGAAGTATGAGCTGAGGGGGAAAAAGGAGACATATGTAGTACTTTAAACAATAAAGAATAATAAAAAAAGAGAAGTGTACGCTGACATCACCCAATTATCTGGGAAGCCTATTTTATGTACCTTGATTTGGGGTGGTAATGAGGGAAAAGGGAGCCCTGAGGGGACAGGCCAATCAGTTTGGAGAATTAGCACATCTTTGGCACCAAGAGTTTTGATTGATCCAGTATGAATAATTGAAAGGTTTATTTGTAAGTGCAATGTGGAAGAATTGATAATTTAGGGGAAGTAATATTCTTTCTTCTTTTCCTGATGAGCTCTTTGTTTTTAATTGCATGCTCAGTTTAGTGGCAGCTGCATCAGGCAGAGCCAAAGCCTGAGTGGGGTGCATGCAAAATTCATGTCACCAGAGTTCAATAGCAGGTTCTCTGCAGGGCTGGAGCGAGCACTTTGGCCAATGTAGACACTTGAATACACTTTTGACATAAAGTGAAAAAAGACCCAAATCACGCCCTGTTGGGGCCCTGTTGCTGAAGCACCATTAGGGTTAATTAACAGCTCTTGAAGGGACAGACCCTGTGGATGACAAGTTTAAGCAGAGACCAGATTCTCATCCAGGTTGGTCATTTCTTAATGTTTCTTGGAGACTAGAGCTTTTCAAAAGATTAAAGTTAAAGCTTTTAATTTCTCCTTCCCTACGTCCCCCCTACTTACAAGCAGGGAAATGGCCCTACCAGGAAATGGGAAGGCAACATGTGGCAGTCACATTTCCAGAAGAAGGTAGGAGTTTTATCTGGGAACTAGGACTCAGAGCAAACTGAAAGGTGTGACAGTTTTATGTGTCAACTCGGCCAGGCTGTAGTAGCCGATTATCCAATCAAACGCTAACCTAGGTGCTGCTATGAAGCTATTTTGTAGATGTGGTTAACATCTGCCACCATCAGTTGACTAAGTAGAAGCACATTAGAAATCCTGGCATTTGCGACTAGACGGATGGACCTTGATGGTATTACGTCAGACAAAAGTTAACAAAAATCCTATGATTTCACTTATATGTGGAATATAAAACAAAAACAAAACGAATAAACAACAAAAAATAATAATAAACAAACAGAGGCAGATAAAAGATTGGTGGTTATCGGTAAGGGGGCTGGAGGGAGGGTGAAATGGTAAAGGGAGTCAGCTGTGGTAACGGATGGAGACATTTGGTGTGGTGAGCACAGTACAGATGTCAAATTATGTTGCATGCCTGAAACTTAAATAATGCTATGAAACGATCTTACCTCAATTTAAAAAAAAAACTTAAAAAGTAAAGCACATTACCCTCCATGTTTTACCCAATCAGCCAAAGGCCTTAAGGACAAAAATGGGAGTTTCTTAGAGAAGAAATTTTGCCCTGAGGCTGCAGCGTCAATTTCTGCCTGCGTGTCCAGGCTGCTGGCCTGCCCTATGGCTTTCAGACTTGCCAGTTCCCACAATCATGTGAGCCCAGTTCTTTAGATAAGTAAATAAATGTAAGAAATGTAAGGTATAGCTTATATATCTTAGGGTATATGATATGTATATGATTTTCTATCTATCTATCTATCTATCTATCTATCTATCTATCTATCTATCCACCCATCCATCATCTCTCTCTATATCTGTCCTGTTGGTTCTGTTTCTCTTGAGAACCCGGACTGATAGAGAAGGCTGCTTCACCACCCTCTCCCACCCCACAGTGGGAGGCTCTCAGTCTCTCTCATACATACACCATTCACAGCGCAGAATCTCACATTACAGATTTATCCTGTGCATTGCAGGTGTGGGCTTGTCTAGAGCTCCTTGTTGAAATGCCAGCACTGTCCTGAACACCTGGAGAGGGAAGGAGAATGCTGAGAACAAGAGGACAAGAAAGTACCAAGAACAAATGTCTTCCTGGCTCTTCCAGGACAAGATAATTAGAAGAAGCTCCAATGATACATAGTCAGTATATTGTTTAGGACTAACTATGGCCAGAAAGTACGAGTATAGGCAATTTTTGAGGAATTAGGTGGAGATGGGATTAATCAGGACGCAGAGGGATGCGAATCAAGTGGTTCTAGGACTTCCCTTCCTCCACAGGGTTGATTCAGGTGCCCAGCTATGAGGATGCCTGTAGAGGGCCGTCATGTAGGGGTCTTAACCTCGCTGGTGGAAGTGGACACGACCAGCAGTCTTAGAAGCCTGGCCATATGCTTCTGAACATGTAAACCACAAATTCAGTGAGAGAGGGACCCACAGGTGCTGGGGAGGAAATAACAATGCTACCCAAGGGCAGGGCGGCAAGGCCCCCTCCTCCTGTTCCTCAGTGATCACGTCCGCAGAGTCCTTTTCTGGCTTCACTGTCTCCGTATGGGGGTCTGGGTGGAAGATGTTCTGTGACCTCTGCCCTCTCTGCTGTGCTTGGCCTTCCTTCTCCAAAGGTTAACGTTCATTAGCTTTGAGGTCTTTTAAAAACGGGGTCCTAGTTCCCTCCCTACTGGGAGAAGATATTTGGGGCAAACCTAGATTATCTATTATTTAAGTGGTATTTCTGACACATGTTGAAACAAAGAAAACGACAAAACAGATCTCTGATAATTACACCTTTAAGAATTGGCTCATTTGTGCTAAGTCTTGCTGTTAGGTTAAAAACCTAAGATTAATTAAGGTTCTTTTCCTGAGTGGCCTTTGGTTAGGAGTTTACTCAGTGTCTGCTGTGGTTGTAACTGTGGAGCAGGCATTTATTTGTGCATCTTGGAGCCTCTGGTTGAAAACCTGAGGGTCTTTGGAACTGAATACCTAAGAAACTTTTGTGCTCCTTTGTGAACGATCAGGTCATGTTGGATTAATCAAACGTCACAGTGAGACTGACCCATTGACGCATGAAGGGTATTAAATTTCCTCCCACTTTCCATGCAGGGTCTCTTTGGGTGGCTGTGTCCCGAGACTAAAGACTGTCACTGCTCCCATTGGGCAGCCTGCTTCTCTTAGCTCCCTCCCGCCGGGCCCCCTCAGCCTACGGGTGGTAATGGCTCCCCGTAACTAATGTGGGGTATGCATCATCTCATTATTTCCCAACACTCTCCCATACCTTTGTTAAACTCTTCCCAAAGCATGCAGTATTAGTGGGCCATCAGATTCTTACCAGGACCTTGACTACTGTAGGAGTGGGAGGAAAATAACTTAAAGGAACTTTGAAAATGAAGATCAGTGACACCAGGGATAGCCCTGCTGGGTCTGCTCACAGACATGCCCTTTGGCTGGACCTAAGTGCAGCTACGAGGCTCTCCTCCTCTCGTTCTAGTGTTTAGAAATCCTCAAGAGACTCTTTGCTATTTAAAAAGTGAGATTAGTAGCCTCACAGCGCACCCTTCAATGCCCACAAGCATTTTCAGCCACAGGTTACTTTTCACCTTCTGACTCACTAAGTGGATAATGGCTAATGGATGCTGCGGTGTGTGTGCTGTGTCTGAGGCACATCCACGGCACCGCCTGGGGGTGTTAGAGGGCGGGTGAGAGTGTGGCTGGGCACAGACTTAATAGTAATACAACTGCTGTTGTTTGAAAAATCAGTTGAATCATGACTGGGGACCACAGCCTCAAGCTACAGTGAATGTGAGAGAGAATTACACTAATTCTTAAGTGGAGTCTTTCATTGAAATTGCTTAACTCCTCTTTTGACAGTTGGGCTATTTAGTTGTCGCTTTAGGAATTAATCTTTGGGATGACATTGGTAGCGCTGGTGAGCACTGCTAAATTTCCTTCATGGAAATAGAAATCCTGTCCAAAATGTCATTTGATGACAACAGTAATTAACCTGAATCACATCAGCTTGTGCTAGCAAGTATGACAGTATAAGAACTAGTTGGAGATTGAAATGAAAAAGGCAATAGCAAATAAAACAGGATATCACATACTTTGAAATGAAGTTTTTACCTCCTTAAAAAGTGAGTAATTGTCTGCATGGACAATTTACCTTTTGATTAGATATGTCTGCTTATGTGTTAATTTATTTTTATTTCTTTTTTTACTAGAGGCCTGATGTACGAAATTTGTGCAAGGGTAGGCCTTCCTTCCCCTGGCTGCCAGCACCGGCTTCACTCTGGCACCCAGGACCCAGGCTTCCCTTGCAGAGGGAGACCCCGCCCACCCACTGCAGCCTGCTGGTTGGTGGCCTGGGCCTCCATCTGTGGGCGATCATGGGGCAACGGCCGGCCCCTGCCCAATTGCATCGCACCCGCCTTGGCTGGCCTGGTGCCAGTAGGTGTCATGGCATGGTCCCGGATGGTTGTCCAGATGGTCGTTCCACTGTTCGGCCGTTCAGTCGATTTGCATATTACACTTTTATTATATAGGATTGATTTCAAGAGGAAGAGAGAGAGGGAGAGACATATCAATGATGAGAGAGGATCACCAGTCAGCTGCCTCCTGCATACCCCTTACTGAGGATCGAGCCAGCAACCTGGGCATGTGCCCTGACTGGGATGCCAACCACGATCTCCTGGTTTATGGGTCAACATTCAACCACTGAGCCACACCGGCCGGCCTTATGTGTTCATTCTACATGTAGCTTGTTGTCTGTCTGTTTGTGTATTCTTTAGTATAGGCTAGCATTGCCATTGCCTTTGCTCTCCCCAGTTGCTCCCTTGAGTTATTGCCTAAACATCCACTGTGGCTTCCCTCCACCCCAACCCCAGCCATGTGTCCTAGGAGGTCTCTATAGTAGAAATGGAAAATTGGTGGCTTTTAGATATGTTTGTTAGGCTCGCACATTATTTTGAAAAATAGTTACAACCTGAGAGACACAAATAAAAATCTCGATTTCTGGCTTTTGAGAAATGGGATGACCTGGGAATAGTGGCCCTCCATTCCTCTGTGGCAAAAATTGGCTGTGATGGGGGCATGTGCCTGCAGGGAGCCGTGGTTTCACCTGGCCAGCCGTGCTTGGTTAGTGACCCGCCTGGCCAGGGAGGTGTGTGTGACATGTGTTCAGCACATCAGGGGCGACTCCAGGTAGTGTGAGGAAGAGAAACAGTGAGTGTTATTTCGGTCTGTATATTATTGGTAAGAGAAAGTACAAGCTCTAAGAGGCGAGAGGCCTGGTCTCATTTGTCTTGGTATGTGCCATGTTTCATACATGTTAATTGAATTGGAAGGAAACTCTACTTAGGAAGAGGAATCTGGCAGTGGTATGAAGGTGTTTAAAGGAGAATAGTGACTATTTGAAAAAGGCTTTAACCATAAGTCAGGGTTGAGAACATAGATCAAGATGGAGACAGGGACTAGAGACAGGTGATCCTGAGAGATAATTCGATAAAAATCCATTGGGTTCAGAGACTGACAGGAGATAATGAGGAAAAGGAAGAGGTGCGTTTGGAGCCTGAGGAGTAAGCAGTGCCATTAATACAGCCAGGTAAGAGGGTGGTAGGTGAAAGCCGCAGGTGCCCCCTGCTCCCCAGTCCCAGTCTTTTGCCGTGAAAGGGATATATGACTTAGCTGGTGCTGACGGCAGTGCTTAGCCTTCCCCTTATGTCTCTAACCCAGGGCCAAGACCATCAAGAACACGGTCTCTGTGAACCTGGAGCTGACCGCTGAGGAGTGGAAGAAGAAATATGAGAAAGAGAAAGAGAAAAACAAGACTTTGAAGAATGTTATCCAGCATCTGGAGGTGGAGCTAAACAGGTGGAGAAATGGTGAGGCGTGGAGCAGAGGAGCGAGGCACAGTGTGTGCTGCTGTTTCCACGGCCGTTGGCATCCAGGGCACTTGGGAGAGAGTGATGATGGGGGGTTGGGGTGGCGGCTTGTCCTGTCTCACGGCAACCTGCGTGACCGGCAGAAGTTTTCTCGTTCCCAGAAGAGCTCCCCAGCCCACCCTGTCACTTGGCTGATGTGCGTTGTTAGGGTGGGCAAGTGACTGTTTGCAAGGTTGCCTTAATCTGTTTCCGATGAGATGCCCCTCTGTCTGTTACTGTAATTCACCCTCTGGAAGCCGGGTCTGCGGGTCAGAGGGCAGCGCCCGAGACTTTGCGGCTCAGATCGCTTTCATTAATGACAGCTGTCGTTCTCGCCTATGCCAGCCAGTTCTATAATTGATTTGAGGTTAAAGTCGCCTCTGGTAAATATTTGCTTTTTTTCTTTGTCCTTTTCCCCCATTTCATTTTCATTCTCTGCCTCTTCAGAGCCACAAATAGAAGGCTCCTGAAAGCTTGGCTCAAAAATGGAGTCTTAAAGGCTTGTTTCGTGACTCGTTTTTCTTTTTCCTCAAAACATTCTCTTTGGTTCGTTCTGTTGGAAGAAAATATCTCAGGCAGCTGACGTGCAGTGGGTGGGTGGGTAGTGGGTGAGGCGTTGAAGAGGGGTTTTTAGATCTAACTGCAGACAGATTACTTCCACTGAAATTTTAGCATTGTGATGGAAGTTCAAAGGTAGAAGTTTATTATTTTTTTTAACTGCAATAAGGCAGGTTGGTGTGTGTGGGGGTAGTGGATAGTTGGATTTTTGCTGCTGTGTTCCATGTGTGTTCGGTGCTGCGGCAGACCTCAGTGTGGGTGACTCAGAGCGGGGGCTGTCGTGCAGGTTCTCGAGGTGACCTGTCTGTTTGCCACTGCAAAGTCAGCGGCAGATCGTCTTGCGATTATATGCCACTGCTTTTTGCTAGGGAGGGTGGGGTGTCATTGAGCTTCTGTTCAATTGAAAAGCAAAGCAGGATTCAAGAGCGGTTCAAGAAATGACCCAGTAGCCTAAATAACATGATTCATTTCTTTTTGGGAGATTTCTTAGCTGCACCTGTGTTTTGAAAGCTGCTAGAATAATTGAATAATTCAGTACCTGGGCTGGTGGATGCTTCCTTGTGATTTGGCAGGAGCAGGAGAGTGGGAGGGATGCTTGGCAGAGCAGGGAGCGGCCACATTAAATTTGGTTCTATTTCTGGGATGCTCTTGGGTCAGTTCTCTGCTGGGCGACTGGGACTTCATCAAGCCTTTGGTACAGGGAGGGGGACTGGCCTCGGAAATACTGTGGAGCGGGCAACTAACCTTTTTCTGTTTTTTCCTGTCCCTTGCCAAGCTCTCACCTTTCAGTTTCCCACCCCTCAGTCAGCCTGTCCTCTGGGTCTGCCCGCTGCCCTGCTTACCTGACCCGCCTCATGCCTTGCCCGGTCTCCCCCTGCTCTTGGACTTTGCATGTGGCATCAGTTTAACAGTTTGTTCCACTACCTTGCGGGTCCACTCAGAAATTTACTGTTGTCCATGCTCTGTAGGGTGAAATCCTAGGTATGCCCTTAAGTTCCATAATTTGGGGAAATGAATGTATAACTGATTTCTGGCACATGGTGGACTTTTATAAATGTATGTCAAGTAAACATAATGCAGTGCTGGAGATTAAAGTTGAGTAGTCAGGCTCGATCTCTGCCTTCACCTGCTTATAGTCTGAAGGGGCAGGTAGATTCCAGCCAGAATCAGTAAACGTGTGGTGGTTGGTAGTCCATGCCAAAAGGGAAAGTCTAAGGTGCTAAAAGTTATCACAACAAGAGGCCCTAACCTTGACCGAGAAGTCAGTGAAGGTGTCCCCCAATAAGCGACATAGGGAATCAGATCCAAGAGAGACAGAGCAGTAAGCCAGGTGCAAGGAGGTGCAAGGTGGAAGTTGGGGTGAAAGTGGAGGCAGCCACGGTTACAGTGTCCCTGAGGGGTGGGGCAGGAAGGCCAGTGTGGAGAGCTAAGGTGGGAGCACTGGCTTGAGCTGGGCAGGAGGGGTAGGCAGGCCTGTCCTGTGCAGGGCGGGGCAGCTCTTGTTCAGGATGTTGGTCATTATCTTGGAAGCAGCGAGAAGCCATTCAAGGATATTAAGCTTCAGATTATAGGGTGAGATTAGCCTTTTGAAGATCCATTGATTGTGCTGGAGAATGGACTGGAGAAGGTGGGAGGAGGGTCCGGAACCAGGGTGGTCATCCAGGGGGGAGATTTCAATAGCTGAATGGAGAGACAGGGCGTTGGAAAGAGAGAGGTATTTGGGAGGTGAAATCACACAGCTTGGTGAAGAGTGGGCTGTGTAAAGAGCATGCCAAGTCTCTGGCTTGCTGAGTTTGGTGGAGGGCGGAACCGTGCACTGAGACAGGAAGCACCAGAGAACCAGGCTGTAGACCAGAGAGAGGACTGGGGACTGCGGGTGCCTGTGAAACATGCCAGGTTAAAATAGCAAGTGAGAACTCAGGTCTGAGGGTCTGGAGCTGAGAGGAGCTGCCTGAACTAGGGGGAGAAATTGGAGTGTCATCCATCTCTAGGAAGTAACTGAAGGTCCCCTGTGGACTAGGGAGAGAGGAGAGGGAAGAAGAGCAGCGGGAGGTAGTCTTGCGAGACTCCCGCCTCTTGTTACCATGGAATCCCTGAGTGGCCGTGCTGGGCGAAGGGAACTCTGCAGAGCTCTCTTGTCCGTCAGAGCTCACACAGCATTTTAACGTGATTTTTCCGAAAGCAAAAGTTCTTGAATGTAGACAACCAGCTCTAATAATATAACTTTCAGGCTGGTGGAGTAGTCCCTTGTCCAGCTGTGAGGGAAGGGCTATCTCAAGGATTAACTACATCACACATGCAGCAAACCCCCAGGCTTGTTGTTACAGTCGTAGGCTGGGGTGTAATCCTCAGGTGGCCCTTGTGGTTTCAACAGGTTGAAAGACTCGCCCGAGGTGACTCTGTCCCTGGGAGAGGTGGGATCCGAGCAGAGGAGCTTGTCTCCTGAGTTCATCCTCTTCCCACTGTGGTGCAGCCTGCACTCTCCTCGAGGTTCGTGTTTGAGCAGCGGGATGGACCACGCCAGAAAGGAAGGGACTCCACGGTGTCCCGGGCACCGGCTCTAATGCCTCCTCATCATGAGGGCATGGTTGGTTTGTGTCAACTAGGGAACTGGGATTTTGAAAGTGGAGTGCTTTCCACTAAAACCAAAGTGATACGATAGTTCCAACATCCTTTTGAAATTTAACACACTCGTTGGTTCTAAACTTGTGGGAGCAGCCACCAGGCTCACCTCATCGATTCCTGATACTGACATTACGCATTATGGTCTGAACAAGTTATGAGAGCATTGTCAGTAGCACTCGCCCTTCCCCGGAGAGAAGATTTCTTTCCTTGCGTGGTGTGTTTATAATTTAAAAGTTTGGCTGCCTTGCTGTCCTCCAGCTGTGGGAAAGCGAGAGAGATGGAGTGTAGCAGAAAAGAGTGTGCATGTGTGTGTGTGCGTGTGTGTGTGTGTGCTTTTTCTGTAGAGTGAGGTAGAAACACAAAGGAGCAGGAAAGGTAAAATACTCTGATGCCCCAACAGCAAACCAGGTCCAGGCAGATAATGGAAATAAGTGAAGGGAGGAAATAAGTTAGCAGTAATGGCACTGTGCTGTGCAAAGTCACTCAGGTTGAGAATTACTATCCTGTTACTGCCTATAGGCTGTCCCTTCCACCCCCATCCTTTACCCCCTTCAACTCCTCATAGCTGAATGGGCCACTTCAGAATGCAAGCCTGGCAGTCAGTTGCTCCTCTGGGCAGAGGAGAACATGGATTCTCTGAATATGGCCTGGAATTGCAAAGGTATATACGAGTCATTTCTGCCATTGCCATCAAGGCAGATGGTTCAGGGCATGTGCATAGTGGCTTAAGGAGAGGCCACACCTTGTTTTTATAAAGAAGGAAGGGGCAAATCCACCCACTCTCCTGGTGTCATTCCCCACTGTGCCAGTGAGGGTCCTGGGGTTGCAAGCCACAGGAATTGACCCTGGTGGTTTACACAGAAAGACAGTGCATTAGAAGGCTCTGGGTGACCCCAGAACCAAACAACAGCCGAGGAACCAGCCTCACACAGTGAAGCTGGGGCTGCTGCTGAGACACAGGCAACGGGGGAAAATCGACAGGTTCATAAAGGGGTGCATGCGGTGAATCCCCGGGAATGTCATCTCCTCCGTGCATTCTGTGATTCAGACCCAGGGGCCCAAGAGAGAAGGAGATAGAGCGAGTGGTGCTGTGCTTGCCTGGGGAAGGCAGGACGCATTCTGATGTGCTGTCTGACCCAGGCCGCCCGCCTTGGAAGGGCTCATTCCTCATGAGGAAGTTGAGGCCCTGTTATGAGAATGTCACTGTCTGCTAGTGACATCTTGTGGGCTGAAACCTAGTGACAGTCTTTCTTCGCATCTGGAGGCTCTGGTGGCAACTTTAGCCGCATGGAAATTTGTTCAGCTACTTGCTTAAGGACGGGTAGATAACGTGGGCAGCTATCAGAAATAAGATTTTGTTGTTTATTGATCATGTATGGGAAGGACTCGAACAATCCTAGAAATGGGGATAGATTTAGGTAGTTGGGTTCAGAGTGAATTTCGGCTCCCACTCCCCCAACCCATCAAGAAGACCACATAGGATGGGGAGGGGGGTGTTGAAGGACTGGGCGTGTGATGCTCAGAAGGGTTGGTGGGTCATAGCTCTCCCATTGAGAGAACTGCCAGGTTAGTTTTCACACAGGCCCTCTCCTCAGGTACGACTTTGAATCTTGCCGTTTGAAAAGTGATAACTTAGGGGCTTACGTCAGAAAAGGAGGCCCTGAAATCCAGGTGTCACAGGGCCGGGAAATGACCTGACAAGGTGGCATAACTGCAGCATCTCTTGAATAAAATATAATATTAAACAACAGAGCAGATGTAGACTTCCCCATCTGCTGACATCATGCAAAAATCATGTCATCACAGGCTGAGAAAGCATGGAAAAATTGGCAGTCTCCTGAGCAGATTCCTCCAGGTTTAAAACCGGCCAGGCCAGCCGGCTTGGTTCCCTAACGAGCTAGGTCTGTAACTTTGGGTCTGACTGGGGCTTTGGGAAACTGTGCGGCCCCCACGGTTGGCACACGTTTAGCATTAACTACGAGGAAGGTGCGGGCCCCCTGCCTGGGTTCCTGATTACCACAGTGGATGCTCAGAAGTTAGCATTTCGCTCGAGAGGTCTGCTTTGTTAGGCACAAGAGCTTGTAGTCACACTGTTAGGTACAGTGTTTGCTTGTGCCTCTTGCTTCTTTCAGGCACAAGCAAACACTGACAGAAACCCTGACCACCAGGAGAATGTGCAGCCAATCAGGAGTCAGGTCTGTAAAGAGGGTGTAGAGTCCTGGGTGACCAGCTTATTAGAAAATTTCTCTAGAAGGGATTAGAAACTGTCTTAAGCTGCTTACAATATTTTTAGGAACTAGGGTAAAAGATGGATGCTATTTGCGTGTAAAATAATCCCATAAAGGAATGATTTTTTTTAAAACCTCACATTTATATAATGTTATCTTGTGGCTAGCTGCTCTTACCTGTCTGGCAACTTAAAGATTTCCTTTCCTTTCTATATCAAAGTTTCTTTGATATAGAAATGTCCTACTACTAGGTCTGCCACTGGCCCTGTTGGTCTTAAAACACACACACACACACACACACACACACACACACACACACACACACACACACACCCCGCCCCCACCACAGGTCTCTGTGGTTTCCGGGAGAAGCTGGGAGGGACCAGCTCGACCTGCCCTGGAGTTCAGTGAGAGTGCAGTTACCTTCCTGTGTCCTTACAGGCTTCAGGGACTCGACCTATGAAAAGGACAACTAGCTCGTTGCCATTTCACGTGTGAATTTTTAATGAATTACTGGCAGTCTAATGGTTCTCTCTCTCTCTCTCTCTCTCTCTCTCTCTCTCTCTCTCTCTCTCTCTCTCTCTCTCTCTCATAAACACAAAATCAAAAAGCCTGTTTTGGAGTTTTTAAACTAATAGCCCTAACAGGAATTTTTGATTACTCTGTTATTCTTGTTTATTGCAATTGATGGATTTCTACTTTTTTGTAGAAATATTACCTGTACCCTCTGGGGGTTTTCATTTTATAATTAAAATGCTCTGCAAACCTCATAGGTGTGCTCCAAGTCAGTGCTCTGTGTACACACACATCTTTTTAGTCCTTAGAGGTAATTACAGCTGACAATAGGAAATGCCAGAGTGCTTCTTTAAAGAGGGATGGGCTAGGGGGAGGGGGAGGGGAGCTTTCATTCAAAAAAATCAGGTGCTTTACAATATTACAAGCTCTTTCCCTGTGGACAGGCATGAAGCCTCAGGGGATAAACTGAGAGAAATTTGCTTTTAATGCAAAGAAGGAGAATAAAAATAAAATAGGTGCTAATCTTCATTTGGTAGTCCTTTTCTGTTCTCCCGCCACCAGATTTTAGGGCCTTATTTCTTGGGGTTTGTTCGCAGCTGTCTTCCTGTTACAATCAGTTACTCCTTAATCACCTCTCGGGGGCTTCTGGGGAGAGCCGGTCTGCAGTGCAGGGATCTTCTCGATGACGGTGGTGAGATTGCCATGGAGACAGACTGCCTAGTGTCAGGCCGTGCACAGAGTTGGGAATTTATAATCCCCAGACGTGTTTGTGAGCCGGACAGTGTAGTTACCAGGGACGCTTCTGGAAGTCATTTTCTCGGCCCTTTGAAGGGCAGTGGTGCTGGGAACACCAGCTCCGGGTCCTCTCTGGGCAGGAGCTGTGCTCTCCACCGATGCCTGCTGCTTTTGTTCCTGCGTGTTGCTTTGTTCTCCTTGGCCTGAACGGCTGCTGCAAAAAATAATTCCGACTGCCTGACCTTTAGAAGGGTTCGTTGTGTCGATGGAGCTTTGTGGGGGACGTGTTGATGCTTCGATTCAGAGAATTCGTCAAGAGAAACCAGAAAGTCTGCTGTAGGTTTCAAATGTGTCTTAATAATAACAATGAAAGCAAACCTGAAAGAGGCTTGCATAGATATATTGCATTTTAATTTTGGAAATGAGCTCTAACCACAAAGGTATTGTGAAGAACCCAGAAACACTAATCTCAGAATAACTAAAAATAGCAATTTATCTGCAAAGCCTAAAAGAGTTGACAATTTGTCAGGGAGAGGAGGGGTAAGAGATGGACTTTAAATATAATAACATCTTTTGTGTTGTACAGATACTATTTTAATTAATCTTTAGAACAATGCTGTATTAGAGGCATTATCATTTCCTCTCCTTTGTAAAAAGCAAGCCAGGAGGTTAAGCAGGTGGTGGGCCTGTGATTAATTAGTCTGTGAAAGGACCAGTGTGGCTCAGTGTCCCAACAAGCGCTGGAAACATTTATGCAGTGGCTGATCCCTTTCAGGGACCTGGTGTCAGCGTGGGTGAGCTTGAACCTCTCCCGCCTGGGACCACCTGGCACTTGGTGTTGTTCTGATTCCTCAGTGGGAGATGGGAGCAGCTCCGGGAGGAGGCGGGGTGAAACCTGTGGCTTTAGTTGGAGCAGGTGACTTGGTGCTAGGTTGTGGGGTTTCATTCTTGGCTCCTGCCTGCCCCAAGGAATTGAAACACACACAAGGCAGCTCCTTAGCTCACACCAGCCTTATAAGAGCACTGCCTCTATGGCCTTTTGGAACCAAATAACACAGGGATATGTGTCGCTTCCAGATATTTTTGTATCTCACTTCTGGACTTGGGGCGAGTGGCCTATGGGTAATATGACCAACATCCAACTGGTTTGAGATCTAGCACAGTTAAGAATTCACCATCATTTTAAGCTGAAAGATCAAATTCCTACTGCACTAGGTTGCCACGTTCACAAATTTCATAAGCTGGAACTGAAGAATTAGAGATACAGTCATGAGCCAAGCAGAGAAAGGACATTTACCAAAGTGTTAGTGGTGACTTCGTCTGGAGAGGGAGAAATTGGAAGGTAGGGATGTCAAATTTTAGTGTATACACTGTGGTTAGAAATGGTGTGTTTGTGTGTGTGTGTGTGTACAATTTTTTTAAAGCAAAAAACATCCTTAAGCACTAAAACATGGTACTGCTTTTATGGCCCGGGGTTTAGCAGGCTGTAGCGAATATAAGTCCTTTAATTGGGTGAAATTCAGTCAGCACACTAAGGTTGTTGGGGGATGTTTTAAACCAGGGTTGAAACTGAATGAAATATTGATCTGGTTCAGGTTCAGTTCAAAGGCTACTCTGATATTCTGGTTTTGCTTTTAGGTCAATAATTTTAGGAAAAGGTTTGGGTCTAGCTGAGCTTTAGGAGGAAAAACGGTTGGCTCAGTTTTATATTCAACAAAGTAATACTTGATTCTAGGTTTTGCTTCAAGTTTCTGCTTAAAACAGAACTGTGATACAAGTGAAATCATTTGGTGTTAATTTTATTTGGTATGAAGGCCATTTGTGATTATCAGTTTGATAATGGAATCTTCAGCAGCAAAACTTACACATCACAAAGTGCTTTGTTTATGTTGAGATACATGTATACAGTGTTCAGGTGGGTTCCTGGAGACATGATTTATATTGTTTATGAATCTACGGATTAGGATCTCAGTTCTGTAGTGTGTGTGTTTTTTTAAGGACTTTCCTCTGGTGCAGAGCAGTTTTCCTGGGGAATTTCCACAAAGTGCATTTTATGGGCTAAGTGGAGTGAGGCTTGGAACGTTGCAGACACTCACTGATGGTAGCAAACTGAGTGTGAAGTTGATGGTAAACATTGTGATGGGGAAAGTATGTTTGGTTTTGGTTTGCTTTCCAAGAAGATATTTGAGAGACTCCGTTGGGCCACATGGTTTTCATAGCATCCTTTTTATGCAGTGCATCTCTGCCAGGTGATTTTCTTGGTGGGGATAGCCATTGGCCAGCTTGAGAACTTCACCTTTTTCCTCAGTTTGCATGGTCAGACTTGGTAATGCATCTTTCGAAAGCCCAACAACACCATCTGCAGACTGAGAAGTAGTATGTAAGGTCTCTGCATGATACTCTAGATTGGCTGCTTTTTCTTTCCTGGGAAAACCTGGCATTGCAGGAAATTATTCTGTTTGAACTTTCCAGTGGAGCCAGTTAATTCCGACTTCCTGCAGGAGAGAGTGGCTGATGGTGGAATATGTGATTGTGTGGTGCCAGCCTGGGTCCCTGGGTCCCTGGGTACCTGGGTACCTGGCTACCTGCTTTGGATTCAGAGAGCTGAAAGTTAGGGAATTTGGGCCCAGCAATGTTCTTTTAAACAATGGCGAATTTGTTCCTTGATGTGGCTGTTTCCATTAATGAAACAGTAACCTAACTAATTGGTAATTAGGATGCCTCAGAGGTCCGTTTCCCTTTGAGTCAGTCACTAGAGAGCGCATGATTCTAGTAAAGCCCCAGCATGTTCCTCAGAAGTAAAGTGTAGCTGACAGTTCTGGGCATCGCTGCACGTTGGGTTAGTTAAGAGCTTCTGTGGTGGAACCAGTTTGGGTCAATTAATTATGACCTTTCTTGTCAAATGGAAAGAATGTGAACGATCGCTCTATATAAGAGCTCTTCATTGTGCCCTTTAGTCTTGTTCATGGGAGTGACTGGTTTGGGAACTCCCCCGGGAGGGCTGCGTGCGAATTTCTTCAATACCCGCCCCTTTCGGCTGTGTTTTGCAGGAGAAGCAGTGCCTGAGGACGAGCAGATCAGTGCTAAGGACCAGAAGACCTTGGAGCCCTGTGATAACACCCCCATCATCGACAACATTGCTCCCGGGGTCGATGCTGTGGTCGCCAGCATCTCTGCTGAGGAGAAGGAGAAGTATGACGAGGAGCTCTCCAGTCTCTACAGGCAACTGGATGATAAGGTCTGTAGCCAGAGACTCTAGTCTTCGCTCTAGGGCACAGACTAACCATGGCAGGTCCCCGCACTCTTGACCAGAAGCTGCTTCCAGCCCTGTGTTCTGAGGTAGGGCTGCAGACTGACGTTTATGTCGAGCTTCCCGGTGTTTGCCCAGCTCTTGATTGGGCAGAGTTAGGGAACTTGACTCACATGGAATGGAACCTCCATGGAAATTTGATGAGAAGAGGGGAGTGTTGGCCTGTATACACAGACAGTCTTCACTTCTAGAAACTGGACTGGGGCTGGTCATGCATGAGGAGGGATTAGGGGTGAAAGCGTACATGATCTTTGTTTAATTCTCTCTCCTTTTCTTCTCTGGGCATACGCCTCACCTCTGTGGAACTCCCACAGTGGTTCCAGCCATGGGGACAAGGGTGGGGGCTCCCAAACCGCAAGTGTGTGCTTTAATTGGGAAGCTCATGGTGGTGGAGCCCCCAGTGTGGTGTGTGGTCTGATTGCTTCTATGTTATTGGCAGAGCTCTTTTCAGGGCATCCTCTTGAATGAAGTCGTTTGAACATGCTGATTAGGGATGTCCTTTTTTATGGCAAACTTTTTGGGGCACAGTCAGGTCAGTGCACAAGTTGGAACAGAGGAAAAGAGATGTCAGAGAACATTGTGTATCATTCATCCCAGTGGAGGTCATGTTAGGAATCCCAGAGGCACAGGAAATTAAATTGATGTTACACATGATCTTGGCATGCTGCCCTTGGAATATTCGAAATCCTTTCAGTTCATTTCATCAGGGTTGCTGATATTTTTAGTCTGATTTAATCTTTTCTGCTGTAGTTCATCTCAGAGGGCTCAGGGACACCTCTGGCTTGAATGAAACAGCTTTGTTATGCCAACTTTGCCATTAATCTCACAGGCCTCTCTTTTGAGTAAAGCTCAGAGTCTGGTGTCACCTTTACAAGGAAAATGTGACTGGTTGCCTTAAGGAAGCTTGTTCTGCTCTGAGTTTGTGACTCTGGGAGTTGGCATTATAACGGCAGTGTTAAACTGGGGTCACCCTACCCTTCTGGTGACATGTTTAATAAGCGCTTCACACAGGTGAGAGCTGGGTTAATTGTCCTTTAGGCCCTTGACTTACTGCTACCCTTCCATTTATACCCAGGGATTTTGCACAAAACCTCAAAGGAGAAAAATGAGGACAATAAGTTACCAGTATAGGCAATTTCTTGATTTCTCCAAAGAAATGCTATTGTTTAAACATACTGTAGTGTTGTTTTTTTCTCATTTTAGAATTTTTGGTTTCATTTTAATAATTTCCAAATAATCTTAGATGAGGGATGATATGCTGGTTCTATCCTCTTTTCTCTATGAATAGACACCTGCCATGGTTGGAATTGGGATCATTTACCTTTGCTGCTCGAGGTGCCTTCACTGATCTGAAAAAGAGTTGAGTTTTGAATGCAGTTTTCTGAAAGGGGATAATGAGAACCCAGCTCAGAGTGATGCAAATGCCACGCCTTGGGGCATTCAGCAGGCAGCTGGCAGAGCTGGCCCTGGAGTCTGCTTCCTGATGACCGGCCTGGCACATTTTCTGGCACATTATTTCCTTTTAGCTTGTGCCTTGAAAACCCTGTAGAGTACACATTTCAAGGTTAGCATTTGCAGTGCATTACAGGGTGACGCTGAGAGATCTTGGAGAGGCCTGAGCCCCAAAGCCCCAGCCTTAGATGGCACCGTAGCTGGTGGTTTGACCTCCATGGACTGCCTTCAGGGTTTTAGAAAGTACTTCCTGCTTCTGATGGTGAAGGTGGCTTGGTACTTTTGAGAATTCATGAGTTGGGATTACCAACATAGATTATGGAGTAGTGGAACTGAAAGTATCTGGGTCCAGATGAGAAACTAGCCCAGCTTGTTTCCATGATTTACCCAAGTTGGCATCACCTATAGGTGGCAGAGATTACACAACTTCTGACTCACCCCATGTTGACCTTACCCTTTAAGTGAGAAACATGCCGGCTTTAATGAACCCATGGAGATTGTGGTGGGAGAAAGGCTACACGGTCTCCTCCCAGCTGCCCACTCTGTCCCTCGGTGCTGTCCCTTCAGAGATCTGAGGACAGGTGCTCTCCCAAGGCAGTGCTGTGCGACGGCAATCTTGCTCTTCAGAGTTGGTCTGTGACTTAAAATCCTGAGACCTGCGCTGGTGATCAGGCCCGCTGAAGATGTTTTTCTCATCGGCAGCATGGGGCTCACATCTGCTATTTCAAAAGTTAGCAATGGGGAGTAAAAGTTCCTAGTGCAGAGCAGATGCTTTTCTGTCTTCTCCCTTTCTGTTTGCTTAAGGGAGAAGCCACAGCATATGTGGTATCAGAGGGGTGATGGTTCACAGTGGGCTGACCTCGGAGTTATGAGATGAGCAGACTGGGGTTGGCACTGTCTTTCATCCCCCTTCACCACTCCAGTGCTGCTGTACTATTGGAGATACGTGAGGGGGAATAAAGTGTAAGTAGAAATATAAGTTGAATTTCTATTTCACTGTTTACCATTGTAACAAAGGCATCTTCATAAATGACCTGTTGACAGCTCACCTATTTCATGAATAAGAAAACTCAAGTACAAGACTATTTTCTAAAAAGTGTTTTAAAATCTCGTGGACGAGATCTTTATAGCATCAGAGAGAGCATGCATAAACATGGTGTGCGAGATGCACGTAATGATAGATATAGATGACACGGCACATCTTATTCTGAAAGTTTTAAGACTTTTTTTTAAAAGATCACAACAGACTGTGTTCCTTCCTTAGAGCAGTTGCCTTAATAAAGGGTAACTGTAGTTTTGGAAAAGTCTCTGGTACAGTGATTTCTGTCCTCATAATGTGATCCCTGTTCTCCATCCTTCCCAGACGGGGAGAGGGGCCCTTGGCTTCTCACTGCACCCCAAGAATCACTTCACCGTCCCACTTGTCACCTGTCAGGGAGGAAGCCCGAGTCTCCAGGCTCTGAAATGAACACAGGATAAGAACAAAGCGCTTGTTGCACTATTTGTCTTCTCTTGTGATTTATATCACGTGTAGCTGGTGTTTATATGTCCCAGGGGAAGATGGCAACTCCTGATGTTAAACATCCTGAGTCTTTTATGTTGTTTAATATTTAGGTGCTGAGGAACATAACTCAACCTTGTTTGTGGTACTCAACATTCTAAGTTTATAAAGTAGAAGAGAAAAAAGGTCCTATAAAATTGTCTCCCAGTTGTGGACGTACCATTTTTAGCAGTTTCACTTTGGTGTAATTTGCCTAATTCTCCTGCCAGAAATCTGCTTTGGGGAGGAAAGTCATGAGTATTTTGCAGAAGCATTAAAGAAACACCAATGTAAAAAGTTCAATAGAAAAGGGTCTCCTTGAAGAGAGAATTAAGGCCAAAAGATGTGCTACATGAAGGAAAAGGAGATCCAGATCCTGTAACATCGATTTCAGAGTTGTCTCGCTCCACGGAAAGCATTAGCTGTGACGAACAATGAGTTAATCCGGTTTAAATGTATGCACAGGCACGACCAAGAAGGCTGGAAATATCCCATGGAAAACTGAGCTTTTGCTAATAAGGTTTGCCAAGGAGGCCCTTGAATTTATCTCCCCTCCCCTCTGGAAAAGGTAGAGAGCACAGTGCAGTTTTCTCCCTTTCCCTTCCCTGCCCTCCCCTCCCCTCTCCTCCGGCAGTTGATGAAAACTCCTGGGCAGCACCTGCAAGAAGAGGGACCCCAATACTGAACTAAATCTGTCTCTGCTTGGGGTCTCTACTTGGGGTTCAGACCCCAGAAGTGCCATCAGATAGGATTTCCTGCTTTTTCTGAGGGAGAGAGGCACAGGTGAAGCCACGGTGGCGTTCTCACAGGCTGTGCTTCAGATGTGCACTTGAACTCATGGACACATTCACAGTGAACACCGAGCCTCCTGTAGCCGGGTGTCGTTGGCCAGCTGCGTTGCCCACACTGGGTAGATGTGCCTAGGGAGAGGCAAAGACGATTGCGTGGGCAGTGAGGCTGGCAGCCCTGGCTTTGTGCAGCAACACCTAGTGGCAGAACATGAGAGCGAGAACGAATTTGCCTGTGGGAAGACCCTTTCCCATGTCAGTGACAGGCTGGAAAGTAAGAATTACTGTTGCTGCACTTTTGTGTTGTTTTTTTCAAACCGGTAAGAAAATTAACTTCCAATCAAGAGGGAAATCTGCTCATGCTCAAGATTAATTCTCCAGTAAATATTTTTCCAATCTCTCTAAGTAAGAGGCTTGAAGTAGAAATACTGGTCTCTCCCACATATCACGTGTCTGCATTCTTGGTCACTGATGTGTTTGACGAGATGTGGGACATGAATATATTACAGTGCAGATGGTCAGACATTCACTGCCTTGCGTTTTGAGCTAGGGATTCACTGTTAACATCTTTGCATTGTGGGAGAGAGCTCCCGGTCCCTTTCAGTTCCCACGCCCTGGAGCTCTGATTTCTGGAAGAGCAAGGGTTGAGTTTAATGTGTAGGATATTATATTTTCCATAATATCCAGATGTTTCATCTGCTGACAAAAGAGGGTGAGATATATTTAACCAAATCAAGGTCCCAGAGCCAGTCTCTCTTCTGTGGGGAAGCACCACACCACGCCATTCCCTTCATTTTATTAGGAAGCTCACAGCTGGCATCCTGGTATCGGACTATCTCGAATATCAAAAATGACATAACTAACCGAAAAGAATTAAACATGATGTTTCATTTCAGGATGATGAAATTAACCAGCAGAGCCAGCTGGCTGAAAAGCTAAAGCAACAGATGTTGGATCAGGATGAGGTAAAGTTCATAATAATAAATTTTTTCTTACAAAGTTCTTTTATTACTCTTTGTTGTTGATGTTTGTTCCAGAATTTTAATTTGCAAGGAATTTGTTCAAGATCACTGAATCATGTGGAAATTTCGTGGTAGATTTCTTTTAAAAGCTGGTTTTGCCCAAATTTAGAAGGTAAGTGTCTGACTTGTTAGAGCCCTGGGATCTGAGAGGGAGTAGCTGGTTGCTACACTTGTGTTTAAAGAGCAGAGACAGGGGAGCTTGATAAGTGGACAAGGATGGTTTTAATTCCTCACACCCAGTGCTCAGCACTCTTGTTTTTTTTGCCATTTTAGCTTTTTTCAGCTTTGCAAATCAGCTGGCTCAGGTATGTGATATACACCATGTTCTCATGCTATCTTGTAGGAGAAACAAACAAATGAAAATTAGAAAGTAGAGGAAAGGGGTCCAAATTCTGCATTCATATACTAGTACATGTGATACAATAAAAAAGAGGCAAATTGTTTTCAGTCTCCCTGATGGCATTCAATTCTCCAGTAAGTGTCTTTATTGCATTGCGTTTTGCCAAGTATTTTACAAAACAGGGACCTAAGCAAAGAAGAGACAATCTATCAAGTATAGATGGTTCGTAATTCTCTTTTTGAGGGCCATCTAAGTACTTTTTTTCTCTTTTGTGCTTTAGGGTGCTTTACGCTTTGTTGCTAAAATGCTATGGATTGAATCAGGCGATGCAATTATAGCAGGTGCCATGGGTTCATGTCCCCAGTCCCAACTTCCCATAGATATAGCTCTCCATAGCCATTTCCTTCCTTTCCTCTTTGTTCCACTTCATCTCCCTGGGACAAGGATTATACCCCTGCTCAAATCTTCCCTTGACAGGGAGATCATGCATGCCTTTGTCGTGAGATGGACCATATTTAATTGATTTTCCTCTGAACTCTAGCTGAGCCTTCCATTTGCTTAGTGTTTCCTGCCTTCTTCCTCCCATTCTAGTCCTTTGCATTTACAAGTTGGTAAAACTGCCTGTGGTAAATGTTCTTTTTTGTTACAGTTAAAACTCCTTTTTTGTTGTTGTTGTTAATCCTCACTTGAGGAATTTTTTCCCCATTGATTTTTAGAGAGAGTGGAAGGGAGGGGGAGAGACAGAGAGAGAAACATTGATGTGAGAGAGACACATCCATTGGTTGCCTTCTGTATGAGCCCTGACTGGGGCCAAGGATCAAGCCTGCAACTGAGGTATGTGCCCTTGACTGGAATTGAACCTGCGACCCTTCACTGGGCCAAACTGGCTAGGGCAGTTAAAGCTCTTAATATTTTACTTTCTCTGTAGCCGGGATAGGGAAGGTCCTGCCGGTGAGCCATATAAGGCCTGCAGAATCATTTGGTCTAGCCCTGCCCAGGCATTAATGCTGAGTGAATTAGATGTTTGATCACAAACAGCAGGCTAATTTTTAAGTTGATAATTGTGTATGGCCCACGAGTGATGTTATAAATATCCACGTGGCCCTTGGCAGAAGGAAGGTTCCCCACCTCTCTCCTACAGCATTAAGGCAATATTTGTTTACTCCAGGAAAAAAAACAACACAAGAGGAACACAGATAATGAAAGCGTCTACATGCCCAGCCATTCACTTGTAAATCAATTAATGTTTGGGGTGTATGCTTCTCTACGTCCATGATGACTATTAAGAAAAATTAATGGTTGTCCTTTTATTCTGTCTTGGTTGACTCTGAAATTTACCAGTTTACAATGTGAAATAATGATAATATTAAAAAGCCATGTAAGTACTTATGTCCTCAGAAATGATTCCCCCCATACTTTTTTAGACAAGTGAGATAATCACGAAGTATAGTGATTTTTTATGTGTAATCAATTCTTCGAGGTAAGCCTATGCAGTTTTAAACAAAAATGAATAAAGAAAAAAAAAGTGAGAAAGAAAAGAAAGAGGAAGAAACAGGTTTTTGGAATAACATGCTATTTTTAAATTTAGCATCTGGATATACAGTAGGGGTTCTCGTCATCCCACACTTTTCCAACTTGTTTTTTGTGTGTCTGTTTTTTAAAACTACTTTACTTTGGGTAGAGAACAGAGCACAAACATTTAAACATTAGGTTCACCAGTCCTGTGCCAACTCATTTCCCAGCTTCTAGCTTCCACAAGAAGAGACTATGAGAAGATCCAAGAGGAGCTGACACGGCTCCAGATTGAAAACGAGGCGGCCAAAGACGAGGTGAAAGAAGTCCTGCAGGCCCTGGAGGAGCTGGCCGTCAATTACGACCAGAAGTCCCAGGAGGTGGAGGACAAGATGAGGGCCAATGAACAGCTGACTGATGAGCTGGCCCAGAAAACGGTGGGAGCGTTTGTCCAGGGGGACTTCCTCGGTTGTCACTCTTGTATATACCCATGGTTGTTGATGGACTGTGTAAAGGAAGGCAGTTGGCTGAATGGATTTTCAGTGTTAGACTTAGATGCATTCTCTGAAATCCTCCAATAATTGAAATATTTTGTGTGGCTCTCGTCCAGTCATCCTAGAACTGCGTAGCACAACTGTTTTCTATTCAGGAGATTTATAACGTTAGCAGGGGTGCCTTGTGGAATAGTCAAGAGAGTGCAGACTTTGGAGCCAGAAAAACCCTGGTTAAAAAGTTCTTTAAAAACTTAAAAAAAATTTTTTATTGATATTTATTTATTATTTATTTATTTTACAGAGAGGAAAAGGGGAGGGGAGAGGAAGAGAGAGAGAGAGATGTGAGAAGCATCGTTCGATTGCCTCCTACATGAACCCCAACTGGGGATTGAACCCACAACCTGGTTATGTGCCCTCACCGGGAATTGAACCCACCACCTTTTGGTGTACGGGATGCCACACCAGCCAGGACCCTGGTTAAACTTTTGACTTTAGAACTGTTTAAGCCTTAGTCAAAACATTTAAATGTCTTGAGTATTCGTTTCCTTATTTGTAAAAATGGCAATAATAACATGCTTCTTTCAGGGTGTGAGAATGTGGCAGTTCACGTAAAGCACTTAGCATGGACTGTGCATTTGCTATAGTTTCAATAAGCAAGTCTCAAGCTGTTAAATCAGTAGGTGAGAGTGGGTGACCCTGGCAGGCAATGGGCTTCACTCTTCTTGTTATGTCCTCCTGAATGAAGTCCCTTCCCTCCCACAGCGCCCGTGCTAGCCCGGGCCTGCGCTGTTTGGTTTGTTTGTTGTCCTGCTTCCATCCAGTGCTTTAGTCTGCACATGTTCTCATTCTCAGATGCTCCCAGCGAAGGATGCTGCCGGCCCTGCACAGTGAGCTCATGGCATCAGGGCCAGTGAGCACTTGGCGAGATGGCTGGTGGTGGGATGTGTCCATTTTGTCCTTTTCTATTTGGAAAATGGGTGGTAGGAAGCTGACTGGCTGCCCTTGGCACCTCAGCCCAATGGTCTGGTATTGTGAGATTGTGCCCAGACTGCTCTGTGGAAAGCATCCAGTCCTCCGGGCAAGGAGGAGCAGCAGATGGTACAGGGAAGCTCTAGGCTGCTGACCGTAAAGCTGATGGAAAAGGCTCCTCGCTCCATGCATTCAGCTGCATGAGGCAGACTTGTTAAATGGCCTCCCAAGATGGGATCTACTGCTCCTGTGGATTTTAAAACACAGTGATACCAGTGGTGGTAATACCAAAACAAAGACAGAAACAGAAGGAAAGACAGACTGCAGTCACTTAGGGAAGGAGGAGACTTCGATTTCCTCTGCTTGTTTTCTTCTACAGGGTCCTTAACTAGGCCTTGGTATTTGCTTCTCAAAACAATGGAACATTTTTCACAATACACTTCTTAGTTTCTGTCAAACTGGAGGATTACTGGACTCATTTAGCGTACTATTTTTAGTAAGATCATTAAAAAGTGCTCTAATAAAATAGCTGCGTGTGGAAGAATTGAATAAATGTCTTTGTGTTAGCCTCCAGAGCTCCGTAATTTAGGGAAATTATTTTTTGTTGTTGGCTGAGTTAATACCAAGACACCAAAAGATGACTATTCTTTTGATGTTGAGAGTTTTAGTTAGTTAGTTGGTTAGTTAGTTAAAAATACATACCTCTTGGTAGCACACATGAAGGATGGAAAGGTATGGGTTTGTTAATGTTTGGCAATAAAATGGAGCTTCTGTTATATATTAAGAAGGCCGATCTTGTTGAACTTGATTACTTTTGAAAAGAGGTGAAGAATGTTCAGTTCAGCTTCACGGTGAAGATTAGAATTTCCCTAAGTTGTTTTCTAAACGCATTAATGCCCCTCTGGGCCTTCCAGACTGGAGTCAGATGGGACTTTGGAAGTGATCCAGGGAGCAGGTTTGTTTGGAGGTTGAGGTGGGGGTGCCTGCAGGTATGTTTAGACCCTTGAGGACGTGAACTGACACAGAACATCTGGTAGGTAGGAAGATGTGAGTACACGTTCTGAACCTCATAGTTCCTTTGGGCTTTATTTATTTTTAATAACTTATTTCACTAACCTGGAGATTGTCATCTGATATGTAGACATAACATATCAGGCTAAGCTGACTTTCTCTTCTTGTCAAAGAATTCAGCGCTATGCTATTGTTTGACTTAAAGGAACCCTTATATGGAAATCACATGAAATGGTAACAGAACTCCACCGTACGTCGTATTGTTATTCATTGCGGTGCTGAGTGCATAAAATCGATGGGCGAGCCTTTTAATCTGTTGTGGAAATGTGTTTTCAGACCACACTGACAACCACACAGCGCGAGCTGAGCCAGCTGCAAGAGCTCAGCAACCACCAGAAGAAGCGAGCCACCGAGATCCTGAATTTGCTGCTGAAGGACCTGGGGGAGATAGGCGGCATCATCGGCACCAACGACGTGAAGACTGTAAGTCAGCCCTGCATTCTCTCCTGCTCTTCTAACAGCGCGATCCGAGCGAGGGGTCTGTGCTTGATTCTCCCGAGAATCCAATGCCTAGTGCAGTGCCTTGCCACTGCCACATGCTTTGTAATATTCGAATAAGGATGATCAAAGGGCTGATGAATGACTAAGTGAACAATTGAGTAAGGAGAAGGAGGAAAATAATTACCTTCAGATGTAGGAAATGTCTTCAAATCTTGGTTGACCTGATGTAAATTGGTTTATTCCTCACACTTATATGCCATTGTCACAGAAATTTGGAATCAGATAGGTTAACCAACAGTTCTGGTCTCAGACTTGTGTTTCTCCTTTTCTATGAGAACCCAGCAGAGTGAAAATTACCCCACCAATCAGCATGAATTAGGAGAGCTTTTAGCTGAAAGTAATAGGATTCTAACAGTGGCTTGAAAAACAAAGCCACATTTAATTATTCTCCGTATGAGACGTCTAGAATTTTGCTATTCAGGTTATGATTTACATCACCTTGGAGCTTGTTGGGAATATAGATCTCAGGCCTACCTCACACCCACTGAATCAGACTCTGCATTTTAACAAGATTCCTCAGGCCATTCTTTAGCTTATTAAAGTTTTAGAAGCAAGTCTTGGTTTGGTGCAGTGCTTCAACAATGTCAAGTATCCAGGACTTTTCTCTATTTCCTTTATGTTTTCCTTAGCCTGTTCCTTTTTCATGTCTGTAGGTTTTTGTCTCATGGGAGCAAGATAGCTGCTATAGCACAGTCCGCACATCCTCACACAACTACCTCCAAGGCAGGCTGCGCTGAAACACAGCCAGCTTTCCTCCAGGAGGGAGCTGTATCCCAAAAGTCCCCTTGACATCTCCCTGGACCTTATTGGCCAGAAGTGTGGTACATGATCACCCCAAACTGCAAGGGGAGCTAGGAAAGTAGAGAATTAGGATTACTATCATGGGCTTAAACCAACCATCAATAATCCCCTGGGGCTGTGCACATTGGTGCCATTGATGGCAAGGAGTAAGGGCGGGGGGTGGGGTGGGGAGAATGGGGGTTGGGCGAGAATAAACAAAGTTATCAGCCAAGAAAAATTAACAGCTTGCCACAATGTAGAGATGCCATTGAAAAATAAGATAGACATATTTTAAAAAGTAGCTTTATTGAGGTATAACTGATAAAAAGTTAGTCGTACTTAAAGTGCACATTTTGAGAAGTTTTGACATATGTATACACTTATGAAGCCACAGTAAGAGAACACATCCACCACACACAAAGTGTGTACACTGTTTCTGGTCTCTATTTTGTTTCATTGACTTTTATGCCAATAAAAGTCTGTTTTGATTGTAGTAGCTTTATCATAATACAGTACCTTCTACAGAGCAGCCACTGATAAATGTGTGGGTTAGTCAAGCCAGGGAATGTGCTGTATTGCTCAGCTCCCACCTCACAAGTCTCTGAAACAAAATCTTTGAATTAGGCATTTGACTTTTAAAAGGCTGAATTCTACATTAGCCTGCTAGTGGGAACTCTCAGCTTTTTAGTTGGGATTGTACTAGAAAAGGGTTCCCAAATAACATTGTTTATAGACATTTCTGAAAACGTACAAAGCCCTTTTTGGATGATATAACAGCTCTGGGTTTAGAGTATATGAGCTCTTGTAAACCTATCATTCTTTCATTGAACCTCTATTGTAATTGAATATTGCATGAACTTTATGAATGAATCTAATTTTAGCTAGAATTCTCAGATACTATAGGATGAACCCTATTAAGTTCCAGTTTGGTGATTTTATATTTGAGGATTGAGAAGAATTTTTAGAAGCATACACTGGTGTTGAGCTATAAACTTTTGACGTTTGGGTGATTGAATGGCCCTGGAAATATGAAGATGGAGTTGATTTATGGCAAGTTCGTGCCTGCTGCTGATAACGATAAAGGAAGATATTTTTATGCTAAGTTCTAAAATAGAGCTGATGAAAAATGCTAATGAAATCAAGGAATGTCTGGGTGCTTCAGCATTTAAAAAAAGAGTCCTTACCTCTGGGAATCTGAAGTCTGAGATTATTTTAAAATAACTCTCCTGGATGTTTTAAAGATATTTTTGGATTCCAGACATTGGATGCCCTGGTTAATTTCATTGATAACTCTCATTTGTAGAGCATCATACTCTTAATCATTCTGTTCTTTTTCTTGTAATTCTGATTTAATTATTAGGACAGTGAGAGCTAAACGGAGGAGTGATGTGACTTTGGACAAGTCGCTTTGCTTCTCTGTAAGATGACAAGGTGAGCCAGGTTATGTCAAAGGTTGTCAGTTCAGAAATTACATGACGTATACAGATATTTATTAGACGTATCATTATGGAAGCAGATACTCTTGCCCCCTAGCTTTTTTGAGATACAGTGAACACATAACGTTGTATAATTTAAGGTGTGCAGTATCTTGATTTGATGCATTTATATGTTGCAAAATAATTACCATCAAAGTATTAGCTGCCATCTTCATTTTATCACAGTCAGCATTTATTTTTCCTGGTGAGAACATTTAAGATGTACCTCTTAGCAGCACTCAAGTATATGATGCAGTATTACTAGCTATAATATTAGTCCCTGCTATGCATTAGCTCTCCAAACTTGTTCATGTTATAAGTGGAAATTTGTACCCTTTGTCCAATAACTCCCCCATGTACCCACCCCCAACCCCTGGTAACTACTGTTCCTCTGAGTTTGACGTTCTTAGATTTTCTAGCTACCACATATATGTGATATCATATAGTATTTGTCTTTGTATGACTTATTTCACTTGGGTGAACCCTGAAGGTCCATCCATTTTATTGCAAATGGCAGGATTTCCTTTTTTCTCATGTCTGAATAACATTCCGTTGTTTAACACACACCCCCACCACCACCACCACCCCCCCCCTCGCGTGCGCACACACACACATCTGTGTCCATTTATCTGTTGACAGACACTTAGGTTGTTTCCATTTTTTGGCTACTGTATGTAATGCAGCAATGAATGTGGGAATGCAGATATCCCTATGAGATTCTGATTTCAGTTCCTTTGGTTATAGACCCAGAAGTAGGGTGGCTGGGCTATATGGTAGTTCTACTTTTAAGAAATTTCATTTTTGAGGAACCTCCATACTGTTTTCCATAGTGGCTACGCCAATTTATATTCCAACCAACATGAGGGTTCCCTTTTCTCCACAGCCTTGCCAACATTTGTTATCTCTCATCTTTTTGATGACAGCCATTCTAACAGGTGTGAGGTGATTTTGATTTGCATTTCCCTGATGATTAGTGATGTGGAGCATCTTTTCATGTACCAGTTGGCCATCTGTATTGCTTTGGGAAAATGTTTGTTTAGATCCTCTGTCCGTTTTTTAATTAGATTCTTCGGGTTTGCTATTGAGTTGTATGAGTTCTTTATATATTTTGGATATTAACCCTTATTAGATATGTGACTTGCACATATTTTCTCCCATTCCAGAGGTTGCATTTTGATGTTGTTGTGCAGAAGCTTTTTAGTTTGATTAGGTCTCACTTATTACAGACACTTTCCTTATTGTTAGGACTACTCAGTTGACATAGTTATTTTGCTCTAAGAAAATGAGCAAATCTAGGAAATTTTCAGTGATCTTGGATTTTTGTTTCTAAAGTTCCCACGAGGGAACTTTTGTTCTTTTAGTTCCCACGAGGTCCCTGTGGTAGTACTGGTGTGAGGGAAAGGATGGCTGTGGGAGTCTCCTCAGCATCACTTCCAGAACGCAGCAGGCCGGCACCATGTGTAAACGGAAGAACCCCCATTTCTCCAGCTCTGTCTTGTCTTGAAACAGAGTCCAGGCAATATTTTGTTTAGTCAACAAAACAAGATGAGACCAGCTCCTGACAAGATGAGCCTGGTGTTGACTTTGTCAGGTTTATTCATGAACTGCCTCTTTTTCTCATGTACCATGTCACTGGGTTTTCCCCACAAAGATTTCCAGGAATACAACCACAAACAAATAAGATAGAGGTTAGAGTACATGAAGTGGATGGATTAGCTGCCTGACTTTTGTTGGACCACACTGACTACTTCTTTTAGTCTCCTCTGACTTTATGTCTTAGCAGTGGTTCTCAACCTTCTGGCCCTTTAAATACAGTTCCTCATGTTGTGACCCAACCATAAAATAATTTTCGTTGCTACTTCATAACTGTAATGTTGCTACTGTTATGAATCGTAATGTAAATATCTGATATGCAGGATGATCTTAGGTGACCCCAAAGGGTCGTTTGACCGCCAAAGGGGTCACGACCCACAGGTTGAGAACCTCTGCACTAGAGGGTGAGCAGTCACCTTATTTACCTTTAGTTGACCTAGAAATGGCACCTTGCACAGCAGCCCATGCACCTGGGGCAGGTGGTGGGTGTGTGGGTGACTCGTCCTCTGTAGGCAGAGCAGAGGGGCAGGCAGCATCTGTCGTCCAAGTGAAGGCAGCCCTTTTTCCTTGGATTAGTCATTTGTACTAGATCACACAGTCTAGTGTCTACGGTTGGAGTCGCTGTCAGACTCGGGAGAGTTATAAATAACATCTCAGCAGCAAACTCGGATTCTTCTTTTTGAAATAACAGTGTTTTAAAATTACTTAAAACTTAGAATTTAGATGACTAAATATATGAATTCTTAAGGGGTAAGAAACCTTTCAGTTAAAGTCATTTGTTTGAAATCGTGTGTTTTTTCCACCAGACAGGAACTCAAATCCCTTGTTAGATCTCCTAGGACAAGGGTAGGCTTCAGTGCTTCTGGTTCTGGTTTTGGGAGAAGAAATATCCAACTATCGTTTTGGAGGAAGCCCTTATTGTATATACATTTCTTATTCTCCCAGTTCCCAGGGGATCTGGGCACAGAGTAGAAAGCGTCCTTGTGTAAGGACAAACCTGGGGCGGAGGAGGGTTTGTCTCCTCCCAGGATGTCCTGCCTGTTGGCTCAGCAATGTTTATCCACCAGGCGCTGGTGCAGATTGTGAATTCCACATAGAAGATACGGATGTTCCCGTCCCTTTCTACTGAAACTGACAGTATGCAGAACACACCTGGTCAGGCTAAAGAATGAGTTTCTTATCTCTGTTCCACGTTTGACCAGTCTCCAAAGGTAGAAGAGCAAAACAAGTAAAGATTGCAGGCTTCTCTTACTCATTTTCTCCATGCTATAGGATGATAAAGGGAATGTGTAAGGAGGAGGGGTGTTGGTAGACCTGTTGTTGTCAGTCAGAAATAAGCAAGAACCTCCATTAATTTAAAATGGAGGCAAAAGTTGATACTTGTAGATTTTCTTCCCAGATCCTAAGTTGTGTTGATTGACACTGATGTAACTAATACTGTTCGAGAATTCTTAGGGGAAGGTTGACACCAAGTTAAGTTACAGGTGCTCAGCCTGCTGTCTAGTTTGTGTCCTATCTGCTACCAATTTTCAGGGCTGATACATAATTCCTTTCCTAACTCTTCAGTGTTTACTGAAACAAGAGTCATATGTTGAATTAATGAAAACATCAGTGACAAAAGTGGGCTGTTAGAGTATACTGTGGAACATCAAAAAAACATAGTTAGAATCATTGTCTTAAAACAAGCTGAAACCTCTAGTCATGGGCTGGTTCTGGACTGAGGTGCTAGAATGCCCTCTGGTGGTTAAACAAAATATGCACACAGTTACTTTGCTCATTTGGTCAACTTCCCTTCAAGAGCATGTGTGCATCTCTGCAAATGGGTTTCTATCCCGAGTACCTTGTGTCAATTTTTGTTTGGAGTAGAGCTCTGAAACCTAGAAACCAAACATGAGCTCATGCAGGAATGCTGGCTGTCAGACTCTTCTCTCCTAAAGGGGCACTTAGACTGTTATTCTCAGTGATCTTAAATAATAAGGTCGATGCGGGTCTGCCTGGAAGGGGCAGGCAGGTAGAGGCAAGGAGACGTGGATTTGGTAATGGCACCTTCTTCATTAGATTTTGTTGTTGTTTAATTGAGGACTATATAGAAAATCCTTTTTATTTTTCAATCCTTAGTTGTAGAAACATTCAAGCCTTTAGACTACTCCTCTTTCTGAATAGCAGGCTCTAGAGAACATAATTGAAATTCTGGCTGGAGTTCTTATAGGGCAGTGATGGCGAACCTATGACACATGTGTCAGAGGTGACACGTGAACTCATTTTTTGGGTTGATTTTTCTTTGTTAAATGGCATTTAAATATATAAAATAAATATAAAAAATAGGTCTTTGTTTTACTATGGTTGCAAATATCAAAAAATTTCTATATGTGACATGGCACCAGAGTTAAGTTAGGGTTTTTCAAAATGCTGACACGCTGAGTTCAAAAGGTTCGCCATCACTGTTATAGGGGCTCAGAGTCACCCTTTGAAGCACTGGGCCTCTGCTGGTCTAGGAATATAAGATATAAGACATTGAATGGAACACGTCTTAAAGTTATCTCTTGTTTTAATTTTTAGTGTATTTTTCTTTTGATATTATCTCTTTCACCCTAAAAATGAATTAGAAAGAAAAGCCTGATTAATTGAGGATTACATTTAGTAGAGGTTTTTAGTTGAAAGTTTCACCTGAGGTTCCGAGATCGTGAGGTTGAACATATAGTATGTTTTAGGACCATTTTCAGCTTGGGGTCCTGTAATTAGGGATTCTTAACCAGGAACCCAAGACCTCTTGAGGACCCATGGACGGGTTTCAGGGGCCCCAAGGACCTCTGGGAATTACAGGCAGTAGCTGTGTCCCCTCCTGTGCCCAGCTGGCAGACGTGAATGGCGTCATTGAGGAGGAGTTCACCATGGCCCGTCTGTACATCAGCAAGATGAAGTCAGAGGTCAAGTCCCTGGTGAACCGCAGCAAGCAGCTCGAGAGCGCCCAGATGGACTCCAACAGGAAGATGAATGCCAGTGAGCGGGAGCTGGCCGCCTGCCAGCTGCTCATCTCCCAGGTAGGCCACACCTTTCCTCTTCCCTTCACACCTGCGCTCTCGAAACCTGCTTCCTCCGTGCTCTAATCGGGGCTGATGGTGCGTAGTGGGGTATTGATGAGCTTTGCGTTGTGTAGTAGTTGTTGGTGGTCCAGCCTTATTCTTAACCCACGCAAGATTTTGTTGTGAGTTACTCGAATTACCTTCAGTCCCTTTTTAAAGGATGTGCCTATATATCTCTATCTTGCTATCTGTGGATAAGTAAATAGGCAGCTAGGTTGGTAGGTAGATAAATATATAATAAATGGATAAGATTAGAATCTAAATCTCCTATCAGTTAAGGCAATGGTTCTCAACCTTCTGGCCCTTTAAATACAGTTCCTCATGTTGTGACCCAACCATAAAATTATTTTTGTTGCTACTTCATAACTGTAATGTTGCTACTGTTATGAATCGTAATGTAAATATCTGATATGCAGGATGGTCTTAGGTGGGACCCACAGGTTGAGAACCGCTGAGTTAAGGCAATATTCCTTCATCGTTTAATCTCTATCATAGAACCAATTTAATGGTTGAAAACAGAAACAACAGCTACCACTACTGTTGTTAGTGACATTTTATTGAGTGTTGACAGTGTGCCATATGCTGTGCTAAGCAATTTAGATGCCTATCCCACTTGATCTTTAAAAAAATCCTGGTGGGCAGGTTTTATTTTTGTTTCTGTTTTTCCGATGAGGAAACTGAGACTTAAGAATGATTAAACGTAGTGTCCAAAGTCATGGCGCCCGTGAAAGGCAGAGCTGGGACTCCCCGCATTGTGTACCTAAACCCGAAGCTGGGAAGGGGTTTCCAAGCCCCGGGCACATTCCATTCCTCAGGGAGTGGGGCTGCTCTGTTCCCACTGGAGTGGCGTTTTCATTTTAGCAAGGCGGTCTCAGAAAATGGCCTGGTTTCTGGCCTACCACTGTTAACCTGAGCTTGGTGTGAGGGTTTTGTGGCTGCTGGTGTGCGCTGCCCCTGCCTCATGCCAGGCATTAAATCAGCTGGAGTCATTTGGGGGAAACAGATGCATGTCAGCATGAGTGATGCCGCAGATAACACTGAGAGACAGACAAACGTGTACCTCGCTCTGGTGTGCTTTTAATGTGACAATAATACGTGATCATAGAACATCCCCAGCCTCCTTGTCTGCTACCACAATCATCTAACAGACGCAGTTAAAACATCAAGGTTCCATTTTATAACCAACATGATGAGCAAGAAGGTATTGAAAAGATTATTCCAGGCTAGTGTGTGATGGTGACATTTATATACATTGTTGAAAAAAGTATGATTTGGTCGGTCCTTTTGGAAAGCACTTTGGAAATCAAAAGCCATGAAAAATATAAGTGTACTTTGGCCCAGTAATTTCACATATGGTATTTTTCATTGGTAATAAAAATGAAAAATTTTCATTTCATATAGCATTATCATTTCCTGATTAAAAATATTAAGGCCTTATATGGAAGTGGTTGAGTGCAATATTTCTTACATTAAGGTAAAATGCCCAAATATTTATTGATAGACTAATAACATAAAGTTATATGGGAGAGTGTTATGTAGCTCTTACCCAAAAAACTATTAAATCTAGCCATTTGAAAAGTATAATTACATGAAGATAGTGAAAGTGAAAATGCTGTTAGTATTTGTGTTGTGCTTTGTAACTTTGTAAAATATGTGTTCATATAGATAAAACCAGGGATATAAGGGGGAAATAGTTGATAAGTTAGAGTGGTTTATGGGGGGAATTTATACCACTTCTTTCTGAGCTTGCTTTACAGTTTACCTTTTATAATTCCTAAAAATTGAGATAAGAAATGGTAAACATTAGTGCCCCCCCAGTATGATTCCCAGATCCCCTCTGATACTGATGGCATGTGCTTTGGGGAGCCCTGAGCCTATTATTAGAAGTCAAAGCGAGTCAAAATAGAGGCCCCCCGCAGCCTGCAGCCCACTGTCTTCTCTTTCCATCTGGAGGTACCAGCCTCCACGCCTGAGTCCCTCCTGCACTCCCTGTGCACTGAGAGAGCTGTGTAACTGCATCTGTAATCTATTTAAATAGATGCTGGGAGTAGCAGCACTGGCCCTGGGAGTGGCCGTGGGGCTATTGGAGTAGAGAGGAACTGCTTCCCAGATAGAAGGGGACGTGGTCCAGGTGGGCACGCTCCCCTAGCCTGTGACCTCTGTTCACTGGAATGGGGCGCAGCCAGATCATTGACTAAGTGGGGTGCTGTAAAGTTTGGAGCCCACGACCAGGGTCCAGGTACCCAGGTCTTAGAGAACACTGACTTTGGGAATATGAGATGGGAGTCAAGAATATTAGGGCCAGGCTGGTATGGCTCAGTGGTTGAACATCGACCCATGAACCAGGAGGTCATGGTTCGATTCCCAGTCAGGGCACATGCCTTGATTGTGGGCTCCATCCCCAGTAGGGGATGTGCAGGAGGCAGCCAATCACTGAGTTTCTCTTATCATTGATGTTTCTATCTCCCTCTCCCTCTCCTTCTCTCTGAAATTAATAAAAGCATATTGAAAAAAGAATATTAGGATATTTGGGGTTAAAGAATCCCTTTGTCAGGCAGGGTTTTCTACATTAGCAATAGTTTTCCATTAGGTGCTGTTTTGTACTCTGCTACAATTTACACAGAGCTAAATATTCAATCATTATTTCCTGCGTTTCAAACATAAGAGAAACCTTGGCTGTCTGGTTTTCGACATGATCCAAGGAATCTGACAAAATATTGCCAGCTAAAATGCTATCTTCCTTGTTTACAATCATCCTCTTCACCACACGCTATGCTTATAAATTCATTGCTCCAGCTGAGTCCTTCCCCCAGAGGTCACTTCGTTAGATCCGAGCTCAGTCTCCTGGGTCTTCCCGCTAAATGGGATCCCTGTTGACCTGGAGCGGGAAGAGCCTGCCTATTTCCATCTGCTATAAGTGACCGCTGGCCCTGTTCATCGGTGAACTCCCATTCATTCATTCATTCATTCATCCCACTAATGCAGTGGTTCTCAACCTTCCTAATGCCGCAACCCTTTAAATACAGTTCCTCATGTTGTGACCCGACCATAAAATTATTTTCGTTGCTATTTCATAACTGTAATGTTGCTACTGTTATGAATCGTAATGTAAATAGCTGATATGCATGATGTATTTAGGCGACCCCTGTGAAAGGGTCATTCGACCCCCAAAGGGGTCTCGACCCACAGGTTGAGAACCGCTGCACTAATAGTTACTAAGCATGTACTCTGCCCTCATGAGCTAACAAGTAAGAAAGTGGCTGAGATAAGCCATGTAGAAATTCAGTGCCATAAGAAAATGATGGTCTGTGTGAAGGTCCATGTCTGGGAGGGATGGGGGAGAGCTTACCAGGGAGAGGAACATGTAAAATGTAAAGTCCGTGAGACAGGAATTGGTGAGCCTGAGAGACAGAAAAAGAAAAGCCATAATATTTGATTTGTGAAGATGCAATCCACAGGTGCGGGTTCAAAGAATGAAGCCCTCAGCCCCAGACACTCCCCCACCCCTTGCTCTCCAGCATTCTGTTCTCTGTGAGGAGAAAACCAGCCTGGGCTCTGGTGTCTCAGCACTGTGGATGGCGAGGAGGGGCGTGGCCCTGAGGGGTGTCTGTGAGAGGCAGAGAAGCACATGGGAAAACAGGACCCTGCTACTTAGTCCATGCATTTTCCCATTGGACAGTCCCGGGCAAGTGAGGTGACCACTTTTAGTCGTTCATTCTTTTTATCTATTTGCTGTTTCAAGCACGAGGCCAAGATCAAATCCCTGACGGACTACATGCAGAACATGGAGCAGAAGAGGAGGCAGCTGGAAGAGTCCCAAGACTCGCTCAATGAGGAGCTGGCCAAGCTCCGAGCCCAAGGTAAATGAGTGACTACTTTGCTGGTGTCACACTCTCGGCCTAAGCAGGCACTGTCTGCATTGCTGAACTCAAGATGTCCACTTTTGCTCAATTAAAGCATTTCTAGGTCTATGATGACAATGGCATCATTGGGGTGGGGGGTGGGGGGGGGTTGGAGAATAACCCAGAAGACTGCCTTCACTCTCTATCTGCTCCACTGCCCACTTTCCCAGAGCCCACCCTGCCGCCCACCTCAGAATCCCCTCTTCCCTAGTCCTGCTTCCCATCTATCAAAGGCCTGTCTGTTCCACCTGCTCATCTCCATCTTCATTGTCATTGCCTTAATCTAACTAAGAGTTGTGATGACAGCCGAAACCGGTTTGGCTCAGTGGATAGAGCGTCGGCCTGCGGACTGAAGGGTCCCAGGTTCGATTCCGGTCAAGGGCATGTACCTGGGTTGCGCGCATATCCCCAGTGGGAGATGTGCAGGAGGCAGCTGGTCGATGTTTCTCTCTCATCGATGTTTCTAACTCTCTATCTCTCTCCCTTCCTCTCTAAAAAATCAATAAAATATATTAAAAAAAAAAAAAAAAAAAGAGTTGTGATGACATCCGTTTAGCGAGGGTCCCGCCCCAGCCTGCTCCAGGCTGGCCCCCGGGCTGCAACCCAAGGGACTGTTCTAAAGTCAAATCTGCCTCGTGCCCAATCCCATGCCTCTGACATTGTGGCTCTTAAGGTCAAGTCTGAACTTCCACCAGTGGCTCACTGTGTCCCCCTGCCCCCGTCCTCGAACAGGCCCCTCCCTTTGTCAGGCATCCCCCGCTACCTTTGCTGCGGGAAGTACTGAGCCATGGGAAGCATTCAGTAATCTGAGTAAACAGGAGGAGGCTGACTAGACATGCAGAGACCAGACAGGCTTAAAATATATGCACGGAGATGAAACGGAGCACACATATTATGGGTCGCAATGAAAATTGTTAGAGGCCTTTTGGAAAGCATTTTGAGAAACATATTAATAATCATAGCATTTTTCATACTTTTGATCCTTAAATCACAAATGCTCGTTACAGAATTATATTAGTGAAAAAAATGAAGTAACCTAAATGTCCAACATTAACTTTGGTATCTTGTTCAACAGAACATTATTTTCATATTGGAGATGAAGTAGACCAAGGCTACTCAATGCTTACAATGTAACCTTAGATTAAAAATCGTAAAGTGTATCTTATTTTTACTGTGGTTATAACATTTAGAAATCAATGGATGCTTATGTTCCAAGGCCTACACACTAATATTTGAAATGAAAATGGTTTTGCTTGCATAATAGGATTGGTGACAATATTATCCTTTTTTTTTATTTCCTTTATTATTATGTAGTTGTTTGTTCAGTAAGTACATCTTGTTTCAAAAGCCAAGGCAAATTTTAAAAAGAAAGAGAATATATCCACCCCCGCAGTGACCTTGTCATATTTTCTTTATGTGATAACGGATGAACGTTAGGAATAGAATGCTCCACCCAAAACCTGACACTGCAAAGAACGTTTCCCTCCTATAAAGGGCTTCTGCGGTGTTGCCTGAGTGGAAATAAAATAGAAGCCAGAGAACCTGAAGTAAGGGAAACAGACCAGAGAGGAAGCTTGATGTCTGAATGTTGCTGTCTTAAATCACTTGCTCCCCCGACCTAACTCCAGCTGCCCATTGCACCATGTGCTCAGGGGCCACGGACCCAGAGGAGGCTGGGACCGCCCCTCCCCCCATACACACACAGCAGCCCTTCCCAAATAGGGGGCCTTCCTATTTAATCTAGGGAGTATTTTATATTTCTAATGTCTTTGTTCTTGCCCTTAGATTGTTTTTCTACCCCAGAATCTTAGAGAATAGACAGCGTGCCCTTGGGAGGTAAATTGGATCTTCTGGACAGTGGTATCGGTTCAGATGCCACTCAGATTCGCAGAGTGCGGTGTAATCTACAGGGCGTGTTTATAACCCACAAAGCACGTTTTTCCCCGGGGGGTCACTCATGAGGCCAGGTGGGGGCCAGTACTCGGAGGCGTGAGGTGCAAGTCAGTGGTAGAGTGGCCTGCTCCAAATGAGCACCTTGCCCTGTACGACGCGCCCCTCCCCCCAGGTCATGTCCCAAGAGCGGCCAGCCTGGCTTCAGCCAGTCCTCCCCTGACAGACGTCCCTCTGTGCCGTGCTTATAATTGGTGATATAGCTGATGTTCCTGCCATTGCCATTCTTCTGGTTTTGTTTTTTAATTTTTACTACTGAGTGCAAGACCTTCCAGTTAAATCTGAAACTGTCGTTTCAAATTCAAAACAGAAAAAATGCACGAAGTCAGCTTCCAGGATAAGGAGAAGGAACACCTGACGCGGCTGCAGGATGCCGAGGAGATGAAGGTGAGCTCGCACTTGGACTGGGCTGTCTTGTCCTGGGAAAACCTGTCTCCCTCAGAGATGCGGTGGCAGAGCAGGGTGAGGGGTGGGGGCACCCATGCCGGGCAGTCGGAGCCCATCGCAGAGTGTGGCCTGGTTAGAGATGAGCGGGAGGTGGAGGGGTCCAGCAGCCTGAGCTGTCTGTAGATAGTTCTGTTGTATTCCTGCATTATTCTCCCCCGTTCCCGATGAAGAGGGAGAGCGCGGCCCCTCCCAGCCACTGCCTGGGCCACGTGGTCGGGTTAACCCCTGAAGAAATGCTTGTCCTTCCTCTGAATGGAAGAAAACATCTCCCCCCTCTACCTTTTTAAAGAAACACCCCGAGTTTGAATTTCCACCTTAAACATAGAGATCTTTATTTTGGGTCACATTTTAAACAGTAAAGAAAAATGCAGCAAATATGATTGGCAAATAAGATTTTTAGGTGAGTAAGATGAGATATGAGGAAATACATCATTTTGATTAGTTTTAGGCAACCCCTGAGCCCCACTGGTGATGAGCCCATAGGGAAAGCCATGTCCAAGGCAGGACCCTGCTCCAGCCAACAGCACGCCCTGCCTCACCGATGGCCCCTCTCCTGATTCTACATCACTTTGCGGAAAAGGTCTCCTTTGAACATCACCATTAACTCGTGCTGGGGGCAGGGCGGGGGCAAGTATCTAAGCTGTACAGGTGAGGAAGTGTAGCTCACACAGGACACGGCTTGTCTGACGTCACCCGGGTAGTAGGTCTGTGCCCTCCGACTGACCTGGCTAGAGACGCCATGTGGCTTGGGGGAGCTGGACTAAGACCCACTCAGTTTTGTAACAGATCCTTGGGTTTTGTTGTCTCAGTACAGCAGGGCGGGTTCTGGGGCCCCAGCTTTGGGATCTGACAGCGAGGGGCAGGGGGGAGGGGTAGAAAGATCCAGGACCTGTCACTGTGCGGGCTGAGGGCCAGCGCAGATGACACACTCTCTCGGCCTGGCTTGCAGAAGGCGCTGGAGCAGCAGATGGAGAGCCACCGGGAGGCTCACCAGAAGCAGCTGTCCAGACTTCGCGATGAAATTGAGGAGAAGCAGAAAATCATTGATGAGATTCGGGAGTGAGTTGGCACGGGCTCGGGGATGTGGGGTGGGCCTGGTGCGTGGGCCAGCCCGGAAGGACGTGGCTTTCAGCCAGGGCCTCTGCTCTCTTGGCCTGTGGCTCTGTGCCACTCGGGGCCACAGTGGCTAGACATGCTGCTCCCCAGGTCTGTTCCCCCAGCTGGAGCTGAGCCTCAGGGGGTGCTGGTGGGGCAGGTGGCAGGCGAGTCCCCCCCAGAACAGGGTCATATTGGTCACTCATGCAGGCAGACACATGTGCCAGTAGGTGGGGATACTATGAAAGTAAAAAACAAAACAAAAAACCACAACAAAAAAAACACACCCAAAACCCTAAATTGGTCTCAGGAGTTAACATAAGTTAAAAAATACTCCAGGCCCTGGCCAGTGTGGCTCATGTGGTTGGAGCATCATCCTGTGTACTGAAAGGGTGCCGGTTCTATTCTTGATCAGGGCACATACTTGGGTTTCAGGTTTGATCCCCAGTCGGGGCACGTATGGAAGGCAACCAATCAATGTTCTGTCGATGTTCTCTCACATCGATGTCTCTCTCTTTCTCTCTCCGACCCCTCTCTCTTGAATCAATAACCATATCCTTGGGTGAGGATTAAAAAACACTCCAGAGAAGGCAGCTCAGCTGCCGCCTCACCCCAGCACCTGCGTGCCCACAGCACAACTCCAAGGCCCCCAGTTGCACACGCACACCTCTCAGGGGCCCCTGGTGCCCGTGTCTGAGCTGTGGTTCCTTGGCGCTCGCCAGGATGGCATCACTGCAGCTCGTCTTGGTAACGCCTCTCAAGGCCATTCTCCTGTCACGGCCCAGCCATTGACGAGCCCTGCTCCCTCCTGGCCTCTCCCTCCTCCTCGCTCACCGTCCACCTCATCACACAGGTCACCACACTGGCGGGGCCTTCAGGATCCTCTCCTGGGAGTTCTTAATGTTTTTTTGCACCGTGAGCTCCTTGCTAATTTTTGAACTCTATAGAGTCATGTTTTTAAATGCCCCAAATAAAAAGCAAAGAAAACCAACTTTGTTGAAATAGTCCTCTCCACTGCCACCTCCCCTGCCCCCAGGTGTGGACCAGAGGTTCCGTCCCCTCCCATTTCTGTAAACGAAGAACCGTCTCTCTGTGGGAAGCTCAGGGAAATGATGGACTCGGGGTCACACAGCCAAGTAGGAATCAAACTGGAGTTAGAGTTTAATTCTCCAGACCACTGATCCCAGTCTCTTCTCAATGCGTGCGAGCTGCTCACACACACATTTGCATTTTAAGAGGAGAGAGAGGTAACCCGAGCAGGTGTCGGTGGCGTGGCGTGGCGTGACTGCCGCACACCTCCCCTAAGGGGCGCAGGTAGAGGGACCGCCGCTCCTCCGGCCGCTGCCAGGCCAGCATTCATGCTGTGCGTCTCCCCCGGCGTGTCTCCTGTTCATTATCCTGATTAGTCACCCTCACAATGTTCAGCTCGAGGGGAAAAGAGGGCGGGAAGGAAGGCGAGAAAGAGGGAGGGTTGGAGATTGAGTTAGCAGGTGGGAGCGTTTCCTGGGCCTGCTCCTTCCAGGGGGCCTCTGGGTCTTCCTCAGAGGGCGTGTGATCTGCCTGTACAGTCCTGCGGCCACATGAGAGGGTTTGCAAGTGCTGGGCTGCTGTCAGTGTCGACCAGATGCCCCAACCAGATGGCGAGCTTCTTTTTTGCAGAGACCCAAGACTTGATTTGTTTCCTCCCTCTGTCCCCCTCCGCGAGGACCTCACAGAGTGGAACTGCCACAGTGTGAGCCAGGAATTTGGATTTAGAAGATGTTTTCAGAACATGGGACCAGAGAGGAAGGGAAGGTCGAAACGGCCAAATAAAGTTCCCTGAGTGCTGCATGCTGTCTGTAGAATTCTGACAGGCGCTCTGTCTCTGTTTCAAAGGATCGGCCCTTTCCCCATCTCATTATTTTTCCCTTGAAGCTCTCGCCCAAGCCAACTATAAATATATCCTCAGAGCTGAGTGTTTCCTGCCTCAGGCGCTCCCCAGAAAATTCGTTTTCACTTGGGCAGGGAGGGAGCTGTGAAATTGCTCTCCGGTCCCTCAAAGTCCTCCAGAATTGCCGCCTTGATTGCACAGAACTAATGGGGTTGGAACAGAACCATGTCTTTAGCTGGAGGACTCGGGGTTTCAGATTGATGGAGAACATATTGTTTTTTCCTGCCCATTTCAGTTTGAATCAGAAACTGCAACTGGAACAAGAGAAGCTCAGCTCTGATTATAACAAGCTGAAGATCGAGGACCGGGAGAGGGAGATGAAGCTGGAAAAGCTCCTGTGAGTGCGCTGTGCACGTTTCCTCCGTTTCCTCTCTTTGCAGCACAGCCCTACGAAGTCTGCTTTTGTGATTCCGATACTCAAATATCCGGGCCAGGTCTGGCCAGTTTAAAGCAGACGATGGCTGTGTGTGAGTTGGTTCGTTTTGTTGATTTGTCTGCAGGTGCCGGTGGTGTCTACGGAGATCTCTGACGCCCCCTTGGTGGTTCATGCTTCCTTTTTGTTTTTGTTTTTTAGGTTGCTCAATGACAAAAGGGAACAAGCCAGGGAGGACCTCAAAGGGCTGGAGGAGACAGTGGTATGTCAGCAAGTTTACCAACTCATTTTCATCTTAAAGACCAGATTAGTTTATGATTTGTTGAATTATTTTATCCTACAGTTTTATCTGGGCATGCCTTTAGTGTATCATTTTAGACATAAAATATGCAGTGGAAAAGTGAGAGTTGTAGAATTTGTTCTCTGGCTCTTGACGGAGAATCCATCTATCCGTCCGTCCGTCTGTCTGTCAGTACTGTAACCCTGGGACCCCTGTGTAAGAATTGAACTAAGTTGCAAATCACTGCCTGTAATTTTATAGCTTCTGTGCCCTGTGGCTACATCCACTCAACCTCCAACAGGTACTTGTGGAGCACCTGCGAGGGCTGGCATTCCAGGGGCTTGGGCTGCATGATAAACAACAGATACGATCCTGGCTCTCGTGAAGCGGACTTTTATCTGGAGGAGACAGACAGCAAACAATAGGAAGTAAATGACGATGGATGGTTATAGAAAGCGTGGGGCATGGTTGGGGGGGGGCCTCCAGGAGGAGGCCATGTTTGAGCAGGGACTTGAGGCAGTGGGCTTGGAGGTGACTGTACAGACAGCCTTCCAGGCAGAGGCAGCAGGTAGAGGAGTGGCTGTGGTCCAGTGGAAAAGGGGCAGGAGGTGGCACCCGGAGGTCAAGGTCCAGTTGCTCAAGGCCTGTCAGTCTCCCTGAGTGTTTGGGCCGGGCAGGGGATGGGACCTGTGTCCAGGGTGGGACTCTGAAGCCCACTGCAGGGGACGACGCTGGACAGGCCGTCCCTGGCTCCCAGGCAGCCCTCTGGCTTTCATAGGACACTTTGTCCGGGCTTTGGGGCTGGACCCTCCTCCTGCCCCATTGATGGGCCTCCTGTTTCCACCTCACAGTCTCACCCTCACTGTCCACGGTGACAGGAAGCTGAGCTCTGAGCTTTCACACAGGGCAGTGGCCTGTGGGTGGGGAGTGGTCCTGAGGGGAGCAGGTCAGGGCAGGAGGGGAATGACGACGAATACCCTAGAGGAAAAGCTGTTGCCAAGGGGCTGAATGACAGTTGCCTAAGCATGCATGTGCGTAAGCATAACTTCTAGCTACTTTGAAGGTCTTTAGCTGCTCCCCCCAAACTGCTGCATTTGCCGAAAGACAAGCAGAAGGAACGTCACCACACTCTGGTTCTGTGACACTTGCACTTATGCCCATGGACATGCTCACCCGGCTCCAGGCCGTCCCTTCTCATTTCCCTTTGATGTGGTGCCAATTCTAATGGAAAATTTTTCTGTGATTACGGTTCAGTCAATAATAAAATCCCTGTAGTGGGAGGGAGAGCGTGCCTGGCGGGGCTGTGGGCTCGCTCCTCGGTCAGGAGTGGGGAGTTGTCTGTGCTCTTCACCTGCCAGGAGGTGGCTAAGCCTGGGACAGGTCTGATGTGCACAGTGGTCACCATGACAGACCCGTTAGCTTCCTGGGGAAAGCAATTTACTTCATCGGAGGAAGCAATTGACTTCAGTGCTTCTTATTTCCACACAGAATGGCAGAGTTGGACCCAATAATAAGACCTAAATTAACGTAGAACCTTTATTCCAAGAAACTTAGTGTTTCCATAGCTTTTTAGCTTGTCTCCTCCTTTTTTTCTGTGAGCGTGAATGAGCTTCATCTCTTGACATTTTTGTCAAAGTAGGTCAACTTAGACAAACAGAAAAACATAAATGAGAGTTTATCTTTCTTCTCCCTCTGGGAAAATATTTTGCAAGGAACTAATCACAATACCTGGAGACTTGAATGGAAGGATTTTCTGATCTTAGCAAAGATCACCAGGTTCGACTCAGGCTCTTGTCTCAGCTCTTGTCTCAATCAAATTCCTAAGGGTTCATTTGTAGAAAATAATCCAAAATGAAGAAAAAATGCCCCTAAGAAGTTAGTTACCCTGAAAATTATAAGAAGAACCAGCACAATGAAAGGAAGCAATGAGAGCCTAATGAGGAAATGGCTGTCAAGTACGATGCATCAATAAATTAATACTCTACTGTTTACTGAGCAACTACTGTGTGCCAGAAGCTGTCCTAAGTTTTATAAATATCATCTCATTTCATCTTGATCACAACAACTCTGAAGCAGCTACTGTTTTGTCCTCACATTACAAATAAGAAAACTGAGAAACTAAGGCACAGAGAGGTTAGATACGTTGCCTGGGCTCACTTGAATGGAAAGTCTGCCTCATCCATATGCTTAGGGATGCAAAGCAAACGGACCAGGGTCAGGGTGGGGGGGTGGGGGTGGGCGCAGAAACATGAAGACTGTCAGTAAGGGTGGGAGGATGTGTGGCTAACTTTTCATTTAACCTTGTTGACATTATATATAATGTGCATGTGAGGACAAAACAGTGAGAAATTAGAGGGAAAAAAGGAATCCATTCTGGTCACATAGCCCCTAGGAATTTTGGTGAGAAAACTTTTGAATTTTTGTGGTTGAGGGGGAAAAAGGTTCCAGTTAGAACATAGCAAGTTAGCTGGCATTGCTCTAGTTTGCGGTTCACTGTGCGAGTTCCCAGTCTCTGCACCGTGGGGTGCTGCGGAGATGACGCCAGGTCAGTGGGGTGGGCGTGTGTGGTGGGCGAGCCAGGGGGCTTGCGAGCAGGCGGCTGAGAGCCGGTGTGCTATACCTCAGTGCGTCCCCACTCACGCGGCTTCACAACTTCCCTTCTAGTCTCGGGAGCTGCAGACTCTGCATAACCTCCGCAAGCTCTTTGTCCAGGACCTGACTGCCCGGGTGAAAAAGGTGAGCCTGCTTTGTGCGAATGGGACCAAGTAGAACAGGTGCCGGAGAGGATCCTTTTCAGATGAAGTATCATTGCTTAAATCGAGCTGGCTGTCATGGCAGTGAATGTTATTAAAAGAATGTGCTAGAGGCAGAAATCACTCGGGAACGCTTTGCCATCTGATTTTTCCTCCTTAGTGACAGGCAATTGTAATCCTTTCCCTGGCCTTCATTTCAAGTGAGTGCGTGTGTGTATCTGGCTGCAGTGGGAAAGCCAGAGTGCAGACTGCAGGGACAGCGCAGAGGGCCTCAGACGCCTGCTGGGCACTGCCAGATGCCCGAGAAGGCAGAGGCCCCTGGGGATGGGGTCAGAGTGTCTAAAGCACCATAACACCCGATGTCTTATGTGCTCTTCCCAGCAACCAGGTGTGTGGTGCTTAGTGTTCTGAGTTGCAGGTGTGGAGATAGGCTCAGAGGTTAAATGCCTCACCAAGATCGCACAGCTGGGGAGAGCCAGAGGCAGGACTGGAATGCACATCTGTGCGCCTTCTACACACTGATCTCAGGGAGTTGCCACATGGAGAACCCCAAGAGCAACTGGAAGAGGTTCAAGCAGGGAGGAGAGTGGAAGCAGCAATGGGGCTATTCTTTAAGATGTTTAAAAGCGATGGACAAGGGCCATATCCAGAGGCCTCATAGGATGGGAGGAAGCTATACTTAAGAAAATGTGTGCATGTATGTGCCTGTGCAGGCACATGTGTGCATGTATGTGTGCATGCATGTCTATGTGAAGGAGCCAAGGGAAAGAAGTGAAATACATAAATAAGAGGTCATTGGTAGAGTCAGAATCTTAGCATAGATGGATGTGTTAAGGGGAAGGGACACATTCTCCCAGAGAGAAGTGGAGAAGCCAAGGTGCAGACATTGGCAGGAAGTAGTAACAGTAGAAAGAGATGCACTGACAGCTTTGATCTCAGTTCACGTGGAGTCTCCGTCCTCAGTGTCAATACAGAAGGAGGAGTGTGGGGAGGCCAGGAGACTAGGGAAGGCTCAGGCAGCTGCGGGGGGATTTGCCAGGGAGGAAGGACAGGACTGCTGAGCAGCGGTGTGAGTGTCCAGCTGAGAGTCAGAGCAGGCGTTTGCCGTGGCCCTGACAGCATGGCTGTAGTGAGTTTGGAAGCCTAGAAATAAAAATAAAGAAAAGGGGGTAGAGGATGAAGGGAGATTTCAGGGCCTGAATGGCAGTGGTCAGGCAGGTAGGTAGAGACCACAATCATCAGACTAGAAATGGCCATAGGACCTGGACCAGGTGTGGGAGGGAGGTCAGAGCAGAGGTGATGGAGAGGGAGACGAGAGGTTGCACAAGAGCTGAAGAGGCTCAGTCTGAGGGAGGAGGTGGTCTGAGGGAGGGCGAAGAGCTTGAGATCAGACCTCCCTGATTTCATGCTATAAAACTCGAGGAAGGAGCAGAGGTTCTCCCATTGTGGTCATCGGCCGGCAGTGTCAGCATCGCCTGGGAACTTGCTGGATGAGCAGATTCTCAGACCCACCCAAGACTCGGTCCACTGAACCAGAGGCTGGGGTGGGCCAGCAATCTGGGTTCTAGCAAATCCTCCTTCAGTTTCAGACTGAGGACACCCAGGTTTGAGATGCGCTCAGGAGGAGAGGATGTGTGATCAGATGAAGCAAGCACGCTTTTCCGTTTCGTGTCTGCATGCTTTTCCTAACCTGCCTGGCTGCTCAGCTTGGCACTGCCAGCAGGGCACTGTTTTTGCCAATCTCAAGTTCTGATCATGTAAGAGCCCGGATGCAGTAGTGACCCGTTGGAGGTGAATTCATTAAGGAAGTTTATGGAAGTGGAAGCTGAAGGGACAGCCGAGGCCACTGAGACCTCCCGCTGGGCATGGACACTTGCCCAGGTGCGATGTTTGAAATCAGCATTAGGTCTTGGGTTTATGTTTCCACATTGGTTCTTCTTAATGAGTCTTGGGGAGAATGCCATGCGAGCCACTTTTGAAAAGAAAAGTATTTATCTACCTGCAAGGGAGAAGTATATATATATCACAGAGAGTTAATCTGTATCTTTCAAGAGCAGATTTGAAGTTTTTTTCCAGACCTCTAAAAAATAACACTTTAACATTTGACACCAACCAAAGAACTAATTTGAGAGGCTGTTGAGTCTAAACTTTTAGAACCTCTGCTTGTTTTCATTTTCAGAAGAGCCTTTAGGGACTGGGAGTTTTTAAAGGGAGATTTAGAAAGTCTGGCCTGCACTCAGCTGGGCAGAGAGTGGGCAGTGCCAGGCTCATCTCGCTGACCCTTGGTGTTGATGCAGAGTGTGGAGCTGGACAGCGACGATGGCGGGGGCAGCGCTGCCCAGAAGCAGAAAATCTCCTTCCTGGAGAATAACCTGGAGCAGCTCACGAAGGTCCACAAACAGGTAGGAAAGCTGTGCCGGTCCCTCTGCCGCCCTCTCCCCTGGGCGGAGCCCGCTGCACTGGCCACACTGCAGGCCGAGGCTCGGACAGCTGGAGAGCCAGGAGGCCCGTGGAATCCTTCAGTCCTCCGTGGCTTCCCTTCTATCTAAGATACTGATGTCATCAAAGCCAATGTGAGGAGTTGAGTTCGAGCTCTGAGTGTGGGGCGTGGGATGTTCAGTTCTGTCTTTTCCCGCCACCTGCAGCCCCAACCTTGGTCCCCATGGGCTTTGGTGTCTCCCGGGAAGCCCCAGAGCTCCACAGAAGGCAAAACGGGCACCGCCCAGCTGGTCCGGGCCGGCTGCTTTCACAGACAAGGAGGCAGACTGGCCCTGGGTGGGGAGCTGGGAGCATCACTGGCCCCTCTGCTCTGTTGCTGTCCCTGGCGCACCCTCTCAGGTTCTTGCAATGCCCTGAGTCTGTCTGGAGTCGCAGAGAGCAGTGGTGATTTAGGGCTTAGCTGCCTCCTTTCTGTTGAATGCTGGAATGTTCATGCTGTTTTCCCTAAATCCTAAACACTGGGACATGATGGAAGTGCCAGATGGCTGAGGGGATGTCATTTCTCTGACTTGTTACGGCTCTTCACCATTACTGATGCTGTCATTTTTCCTCAGAGGGAGGACCGCAGATTCAGTGTGGCTGATGTTACTGAAGCAAGTTATTGACAGAAATACAAACGTAAACACTGTCAGGGAGTAGGGCTCTGACATTCATGAACATTTTTACTATGGACTCAATGAATGTTTACTGCTCTCTGGCAGCCCCAGAACGGGCGCTGGGCATACACGGTAACAACTTCTTTGAGCACATTCTGATTTTCAAAACTTTTCTTATCCACTTAGATTCCCGCTTTGGTCCTATTACGTCCTTTGTTATAGATGAGAAACCGTGGTGGTCCAATGACTTACCCCGTTACACAGCCAGGGAATGATAGAGCTTGGGCCCAGGGTGAGCCTGCTGCTTCTGAACTGAGTGTCTTCACTGATGAAAGAAAGAGCAGTCCCCCGGGTTGCCTGTTAGCCCGGGATGTGTTGCAGAGCAGGTCCCAGCCACACGCTGCTGTGGACAGTGGGTCCTGGTGGGAGGAGGAGGCCTGCGAGGGCCTAACGCGCGCCCTGCACGGAGCCCTTTGCTGGGCATTTCTCAGCTTTCACACGCTGACATCCGAGCACTGCTTTCTCCCAGGAGAGAGGAAGCAAACCCTGCCCGAGCCTGAGTTTCCTGTGGCGGGACTGGCTTTACTTAGACCCTCGCACCGTGGATCGCAGTTAGTAATTCGATCCCTTGCTCTCCCCAGAGGTTATGGTCATGTGGACTTTGTGCCCGGCAGGGGTGGTCACTCAGCTGCAGAGTCTGCTTCTAGCTGTGCTCCTGTCACAGTCTTTGTCCCCCGAGGTGGGTGCTCCCTGGTAATTGCCCCTTCCCCTCCCCCCAGCTGGTCCGGGACAACGCTGACCTGCGCTGTGAGCTGCCCAAGCTGGAGAAGCGGCTGCGCGCCACGGCCGAGCGCGTCAAGGCCCTGGAGAGCGCGCTGAAGGAGGCCAAGGAGAACGCCATGCGGGACCGCAAGCGCTACCAGCAGGAGGTGGATCGCATCAAGGAGGCTGTGCGCGCCAAGAACATGGCCCGGAGGGCCCACTCGGCCCAGATTGGTACGTGCCTCTCTCCTGGGCCCTTCCTAAAGGCGAGGTCTCCACCGGCCAGGAGCCCTGGTGCTCTGAGGCCACCTGGCGGTGGTTCTGGAACAGGTGGTCAGGCTTGCAGGACCCAGGCTGCTGCGCCCATCCCGGAGAAGGGGGCGTCCTTACACTGAGATCCCAGCGTACATTGTGGTCTTCAGAACTGCTGAGCTGAGAGGCCGGCTGGCCTGGGCTGTAGGCAGAAGTGTTGGGCTGTAAAAGGATACCCTGTCAGATATATCAGAATATACAGCTATTTCTCAGCAAGGCCTGAAGATCCCTGTCCTGGGTGGAACCACGAGGAGTAGGGAGCCAGGGCCTCAGGCAGAGCTGCTTGCAGATGCAGGTCTGGATGTCCTGGCTCCCAGGCCTGGCGTCAGTGAGCTCCCGGTTCTAAGTGCAAGGCCTGGGTTGGGGCATTCTCCCCACACAGGGAAGGAGTGTAGCTGCTAAGTCATGTTCCCAGGACAGAGCTGTAGGAATAAATGGGACTTAGGGACGATCTCTGGAGGGCTTTTTAGAAAACTGAAGCATCTCCAGCAGCATGTACTATTATTGCCCATCAGACAGTGCTGTGCAGAGGTTTTTAAACCAGCACCTTCGTGTTTCTAGTTTTCAGGTTATACTTTAGATTAGTGGCTCATTGGATCTTTTCACCCTTTGCACTTACTGGATTTTATACCCTTAGAAAACCTATGAAAACTGTGGACCCTCTCCCTAGAAAAGGGATATCTGGCAGAATTCTACATCTAACCTAGGGGCTCACAGATGCCCTCGGAACCCATGGGGACCTGTGGGTCGGCCTCAGACCAAAACTGAAAGTCCTTTGTTTCTCATTTTCCTCGATCTGAATAAAAATGATTGCTACGTAAGTTCTTTCTGTCTCCTAAACATTGGTGTCCTGGGTTAGCTCCCTGTACTAATAGGAGGCAAAACTGCTTTCAGAGGCTCTGGTGGCTGAGAACGGTAATGCTGACAAGAATTCTGCCTTGGATTTCACCTGTGGCCTGAAGGTACCTGGGCGTGGCTCTCTGAGTTCTTTCTGACGCCTCTTCTCTCCTTTCTGTTGGTTGACACAGCCAAGCCCATCCGGCCCGGACACTACCCAGCGTCATCTCCGACAGCCGTTCACGCCATCCGAGGGGGAGGAGGCGGCTCATCAAGCTCCACTCATTGCCAGAAATAAATAAGTAAGTCCCTGGTGCCGGGTGGCTTCTGTCTGGGGCAGAGCCCTGCCCCTGCCTGGCTTCCTCCCACGTGTGTGTGGACCTGCAGCAGACAGGAGACAGCTCTGCTCCCACAGGCCCTGGGGTTCAGGTGTCAGGGACCGAGGCCTATCCTCAACTCAATCTAGTGCCCCGGGGTCTTCTAGCTGGGCCACCTGGCGCCGGGTCCCCCAGAGACAGGCGAGGGTGTGGTGAATGAGTCACATGAGCTTGCTTTTGTCTGTGGGACTCCCCGCCGGAGCTGGCATCCAAAAGGGCATTACCCGTTTGTCAACTGCTTTTACCCAGAACAGACAGACATGGGTGATTAAGTCTCAGGAACTGAATATAAAGCAAGAGCCAGATAATGACAGTCATATTTTTACAGTTACTATCTGAACTCAACAAATGGAGTGTTTAAGAACTATGCTAATCTACTAGTATATTTGGGTGGATCCAGGCCAGTTTTTCCTTTGAGATAGTGGGCTGTAAACGTCTCTTTCCACAACCCACATGCCCAATATGGTTCTACAACAAAAAAGGGGGGAGAGGTAATAAACTTTGGAAGAGAGAGGAAAAGAGCACAAGCCTGTCCTTTTGTACTTCGAGGTGGAGAACAGGGACTGCTGGTTAGTAGAGCAGACAGACAATGGGGTGGCCAGAAAACTGACTTTGAACCAGTAACGTGTGGAAGGGAGGAGGTGGCTCCGGATGCTGGCCTTGACCTCTGAGCCCCCACGGAGGAAGCTAGTGTGCAAGGGACCGGGTTTGCACGGCAAACCTCAGTGACCGGCCACTCAGGAGAGCAGCAGCTCCTCAGCCCTTTTTGCATCACGGTAAGGACGGAGAACGGAGGGAGGCTGGAGCCCTCACTCGGGAGATGACGGCATTGCTCAGGCTCAGACTAAAACTTCCGAGGGGAAGCTTGGCGGCCCCACCCAGGCACCATTGGAGGAGCAGGGAGGAACAGCAGGGAAGGCCGAGGCAGCCCTGAGCAGGCCTCGTGCCCACCGCCATCTGCCATGTCCGAGAAGGGTGGGTAGGACATGAACTTGGCAACAGCCCACCCCATTCAGATCTGACCTCCACTTCCAGTTGGAAGCAAATAAAATCAGATATTATAAAATTGCTTTGCCTGCCATGTGGTCAGTGTCGGGGTTAACACTGGAATGGACCTGGAAGGTCAAGTTGGGTTGCTTAGCACAGAAAAGCCTACGGCACTGGTTCTTGAACTCCGGGGGTGTTGGCATCATCTGGCACCCAGGGACCCAGGCTCATTGAGGTAGCATAGGGACCTGGACCTTGGTATTTTCTTTTTTTAAAAAAAAATTTTGTTTTATTGCTTAAAGTATTACAAAGAGTATTATATATGTCTCCTTTTTTTCCCCCCCTTGACATTCCCCCGGCCTCCCCTACCCCCCAGTGTCTTGTGTCCATTGGTTATGCTTATATGCATGCATACAAGTCCTTTGGTTGATCTCTTACCACCACCACCCCCCCCCCGCCAACCCTCCCCGGGCTTCCCGCTGTAGTGGACCTTGGTATTTTCACCAAGTACCCCAGGTGTTTCATTTGCCACCAAAGCTTGAGAACTACTGTCTTAAAGTAACTATGACTTACATAAGATGGACGTTTATTTCTGTTACATAAGGAATTTGAAGTGGTCTGTCACAACAGAAAGCTAGCCTCTTAAATTTAGACTCATTCTCCTCAGCAAATACCTTCCTCCCCTTTCTCAAGGTCATCTCAAGGCCACCAAAATGACTGCTACAATTTACGTTCCAAGCGTAGGAAGCAGAAAGGAAGAAGAGACGAGGCAAAAGCAGCCCTCCCACTGAATCAGCTTCCTTATTTAAGCAGCCTTCCCAGAGTCCCATACAGTCCTGGCGCCCACATCCCTCTGGTAGAACTGAGGCATACGGCCATGCCTAGCTGCAAGGAAGGCTGGGAAAGGTGGTCGTTTAGCTGGGTGCATCACCGCCCCGAGTAAGAGTAGTGTTTCTTTGTGAGGACAGGAAGATGAATGCTTGTGGGCACCCAGCACTCAGCATTTGCTGAACACCTCACATGCAGCAGAGCTGTGCTGGATGTAGTACCTGCATTGCCCACTTGAGGTGAGCTTGCAGACAGGTGTCTGTGCTTGGCTCCCAGCAAGAGACTGTGCAGTGGTCACTTCACTAATGCTGTCCCACAGAGGCCTGCCAGACCCACACTGTGTGGGAGGTACGCACAGCGCATGTTAGCCATTTATTGCCTGGATATCCTCTTCTCACCCTGAAGATGGAAAATCAGTAGGTCGGGTGAGACTTTCAAAGTAACAGAATGCCCTCACCCACCGTGGTGATTTGTTTCTTTACTCAAAGTGTTATGAGTGGTTTTGATGATTTCATCTGAAATTGGAAGCTCCTCGACCTACTTCATACATACGTACGACTCCCGGGCTGGGTGCTTTTCTCACCACGTCACGAACAGGCCCTTTCCCGTTGCCGGGAGGCGGTATGGTTGCGGGTCTGGCCTTAGACACCTGGTCAGTGTCAGGTCCTCTGCTTCTTTCAAGTTATTTCACCTCAGAGCTGGTGTCCTCTTCTGTGGAAGGGGGAGAGTCCTTTCCCTGGGCCATTGACATTGATGTCATGCTTCTAAGCTGCTTGGTGTATAACAGGTGCTCAGTTAAAACGCCAGCTTCTAATATTCATGAGCAGTGCAGTACTGGGTACATAGTAGGTAGTTGGGAAATGTTGGTTTATAATCTCCTTTATTTCACACAGTTGTTACAAAATAATTTTTAGTCTCTGTAGTAGATCATAACCACTGAGTGCGGTGCGGAAGGCCCATGTCTGAGTAGCCTGTTTGCTGCTATGAGCAGATACAAGGGGTTTTAAAGATACTATCATTTATCTGAAAGTCATAAACAAGAACATTGACTTTATTTTTCTTTTTTAAAAAATATATTTTTATTAATTTCAGAGAGAGGAAGGGAGAGGGAGAGAGAGATAGAAACATCAATGACAAGAGAGAGTGTCATCGATCGGCTGCCTCCCGCTCACCCTCCACCCCTCTTCCCTCACTGGGGATGGAGCCCACAACCCAGGCATGTGCCCTGACCGGGAATCGAACCATGACCTCCTGGTTGATGGGTCAACGCTCAACCACTGAGCCACATCAGCCGGGCAAGAACATTGACTATTTTTAAGGAAAGAACAATTGTAAGAAAAGACTGGCATTTGTCAGCAGAGGTTTTTAAAAAAAGGATAATATCCAATGGAGTGGAGAACTATAATTGGAAGTGAGGAAATGCTAAATCATTTTTAAAGAAATAGTTGGAAATGTGAAATTCATTGTTTAGATGAGATCACATTGCGATGGCCTTTCCGAACCCTTGGGAGTCTTGCTCTGAAGCGTGTGTGCGCTAGTGGAGGGATTTCACCTGCTCCCTCTTCCCAGCCCTGTGGGGCCAGAACAGCACGCGGATGGCTCTAGATATCTCTGGGAACTTCTTCTGCTTCATGTTAAGGTTCAAGAACTAGAATCACAATAAGTATTTTGGTTTATTTTCAAGGTTTCGGAGGAACTGAAGATGTAGAAATCAAGGTATAGAAAACAAAAGAACCCAGGGCAATGCTGGCTCTTATCTAATCAAACTTAAATCTCGGGGGCGAGGAACTTCTTTTTCAGACCAAAAGCTAGACATGGGCAGTACATGCAACAAGTTAAGGACATGGGACATGGCTTTGGCCAGATGTGGCTTCCAGGCCCGGCCTTGACTTTACTCCTATGTGACATTGAGGATGATTTTTTTCAGCCTCAGTTTCCTCATCCAAAGAATGGGAACGGGCATAGAGGTTGCTCTGTGCTTGGTTTAACAGTGAGTGAGACACAGAGGGCTCTGTTCGAGTGTAGTGATATGCTTGTTTGGGGAGACACAGCACATAAACAAGGTAACTTCAAATAGTGGTTATTGCACTGAAGAAAGTAAAGAACAGGTCATGGAATAGAGACGGAGGATGCTTATGTAGAAAGAGGGGCTGACATTTGAGCTGAGACCTTAAATGATGAAAAGCCAGCCACCCAGTGGCCTGGGGCAGAGTGGCACAGACACGCGTGGAAGGTGGGCATCTCTGAGGAGCCAAGGAAGGCTGATGGGGCGAAAGCACAGAGAACAGGGGAGACCATCTTAATTCGGGCTGTTGGGAAGGGAGGTGGGGACTGGATAAGTGAGGCTTTGAGGCTCCGGTGAGCAGTTTAGAGTGGAATCCAGGTGTGCGGGGCTTTGGGATGGAAATGGTGGGACCTGGTTCATGATAGGAAAGGGCCGCCCTGGGCTGGGCTTTGGAGAAAGGGTGGGGGCCTGAGAGTAGGAGCAGGGCCTTTCCTAGCGGCGGTTGCTGCTGTCCACTTGGAAGGGGTAGCATTGAGCCGACATGGTGGCAGCAAGTGCTTAGAGTCAGCCCGTGTGTGAGAGCTGAGGGTGGAGGGGAGAGGGCTGTGTGGTAGAACTCAAAGGTGGTTCCTAGGTCTGGGCCCTAGCAGCCAGGTAAGTGTTACCTTTAGCATGACGGGAAATTGGGTGAACTGCAAGTTTGGCTTTTATCATCCTGATTAGGAGATGCCTCTTAGACATCAGCCCAGCTCACTGTCCACGTGGGTGTGTTGAGTAGGCTGTGGGATTGGTGCGTCTGCCGCTGAGGAGAAAAGTCAGGGTTGAGGTGGTGGGGATTGTGTGTAAGGCAGTGGGTCTGGAGGAGGCAACCTGGAGGAAGCGTGGACAGAGGCAGGGGCCTGGGGGAGTTAGGCCCTGGGGATCTGTGGGAAAAGGTAGGTGGCACCACCAAAGGGGTCCGAGAAGGAGAATGTGAGGTCAGGCGGACACCCAGTTTTTAGAAAAAGGTGGTCAGGTGTGTCAAAGGCTGCTCAGAGCTGGAGGAAGATGACAACGGAGACTGATGGTTGGTGAAAGTCAGAGGGAGGTGACCTTGAGGTGCTCA